TAGCAAAAATGTCTTCCAGCTGACTGGAATTCCATTTTGAAAACACAGTTTAAGCTATTTGAACACATTTAGGTTGCCTCTATAATAAGGTACATTATAAAAGGTAAAATAAAAATTACACTTTCTTTCATAAACTAATTTTTTAAATTTCTGAGATTTTTGCAAATTTCATATTAACCGTGCCTTTATTTCACTGCACCCATGTTTTTGTGGATAGTGAGGTACATGAGCCACGGCCCAGAGGGCAACTTGTGAGAGTTTGTTCTCTTCTCGCACCATGAGGGGTCAAACTCAGGTCATGAGCTTTGGTGGCAGGTGTCTTTACTCATAGAGCTACTTAGCCGGCCCCAAACGCCAGCTCTTAAAACACTGACGAAAACCTTATTTCTGGAAGACTCTTCAATATAAGAAAGACACCTTTTCTTTCTTCAAGGGGGCAGTATTAATGTTTATCTTGTTTTTAAATTTATTCCAGGAACCCATGGGACCGTATTGGCTAGTTTCACCTGCCAACTTTGCCTGATCTGGAGTTATGAGAAGAGACTCTTGACGACCAACGCTGTAGATCAGGTGGGCCAGAGTGAAGTGCGTGTCTGCGCATGTCTGCGAGGGATTGGTCTTGGTTGCTAAGGGATGTGGAAAGGCCCCGTCTTTGCAGGCGGCATCATCCCCTAGGAAATGGGCTACAACAGTGTACCCCGGGGAGTTTAGCCGAGAGCGAGCAAGGATTCGTGTGTTTATTCTCTCCGCTCTCGACACAGATGGGGTGCTTGACTTCCCAGTGTTGGCTTTTCCACAATTATGAGCTATCCCCTAAACTTAGAAGCCAAACCAACCCTTTCTTTCAAAGAAGCTTTTTGTCAGGGCATTTATCACGGTAGCAGGAATGAAACTAGAACAGGATAGAAATATTTTAAATGAAATTTCTAATTATAAATGTTTTAACAAAAAAAGGGGTTTTTTGAGTTGTGAAATTTAAAAATCTAGGAAATATAAACCACCAGCAAACCCAATACCCAGAGACAACAGCTGTAAAATATTTGACACAAACACTGGAAGAACCTCTTAACTGTCATATGTAGAAGCAGTTATGTTACACATCTATGTGTGTCTATGTGTCTATGCACATACGTGTACTTTTATAACAAAATAGTCTGTAATTCAACGCACTTTAATCAATAAGTGTTTAGCTTAGTCCCACTTTATAAATATAATAATAACATTTTAAATGGTCCACACCAAATACATAATCCTGTTCTCATAACTAGTTCTTGGTTACACTGTTGCTTCTACAAGCTGCATGAAGACAAAACATTTTGGCAATGCTATCTCAAAGTTCCTCGATCACCACAGTTGACGGTCATCCACAGATAGTTAAAGTGTCTTAAACATGTTTAGTCTTAAGAGACCGTGCACGGCTGCAGCTTTATCTCTTTAAGAGACTGCAAAGGCTTCACTCTGATGGGCTAGACTTGCTTATCTGGGGGGAAGCGACCCTTCCAATATCTGCTCTCTTTTCTTCCTGAAAGGACCGCAAAGCGTCCTTCTTTCTCACCGAAGACCAGCTTGAGTCTGGAATGATGGGTCCAGCATAAATCCCTCTCCCTCCCACAGTCTCCTCCCAACCTTTAGGCTTCGGGTGAATTGTCCTCTCACTAAAGTTATTTGCCAACTGGTGTTTACACTGTTTGCCAATTAGGTGTAGAGAGATACTTTATAACCCTTTTCTTTATAATAGTATGAAAATGATACATATTTAGGAGAAGACTATGCTACAGATTTTGATCTTTCTTAGACTAGTGATGGTGGGGAAATCCTGGTGAAAGATTGGGTCACAACTCCCCATCTGCCGCATGATCATCAGGTGAGCAATATCGTCTTGCCAGTGTATCCTAGACACTGTGTTTTGACACCCTGCCATGTATACAATATGTATACAAATGCCCTGTACACAGAACTGTCTTCAACAAACTGCATAAGATAATTCGTGCTTTATAAAATGGGCATTTATTAGGTAATTCTGTCCAACTTCAGGAAGTGTGCTTTGAGCATGATTAAAATGGGCTATACTGGGAAGTTCAGTTACATTAAATACATTTCCCACTTAAAATACTTTCAATATATGATGGGTTCATCAGGATGTGATACCATTGCAAGTAAAGAATATATGTATATATGTGTATATATATTCATTACCCCTTGTTTTGCATTTTCACATGTAATTTAAGTCTTGCTTATTATTTTCCCTTTGACATAGTTAATCATCTTTCTCCAATTTTTTCCTTAAAAGGATACTATAAGAAGAATCAGTCTTATCTTCCTATCACCATGCCTAACAGGCGGATGCATAGTGAACATTTATTGATTTAATAGGACAATAACTTATAGCGATGAATCAAGGATGCTCTTGTTCGGCTCAATAATAATGAGCGCGCACCAGCATCAAAAGACTGTTTCCTTAAACTCCTCTCAACAAGATGCTAATAAAGACGCCTGCTACTGTATATTTGCATTCTTAACAAATTATATTTAAGTCTAAATCACATCTTTTAAGGACTTTCATATATTCTTATAACCTTTAAAATGTCTTCTTAAGAGAATTCCCCAACGCTGGCATCACTCACCTTGTAAGAACTCAAGTGGAGGAGCAAATGTAACAGAAGAAAGAGAGCGAGCTTCATGCTGGAGGTGCACCGGCCGTCTCCACAAAGACTCATGTCCATTCCACAGGCTCCCCTGAGATTTAATTTTTAACCTCTGAAAAAATATTTAAAAAAGGAAAAGCCTCCTAAAGAGCTTTGTACTTTTGAACTCTTAGCGGATTTGGCTAACATCCAGAGTTTTACCGTAACTGAAACAAAAAAACAGCCTTCGCAGTAATTATCCCAGGCAGGCGACCAATAGGAAGTGTTTGGACCAGGGGAGACTGGTTGCTCCATCTTGGCCCAGACAATGCCCTGTTTCTGCTTTCCACAGAGCACGGAAAGTACCGTGGAAGCGATTTTTTTTTCTTTTTGTCATTTGGCAAATAAGATTACATTCTTTGCCTTAAGATTGTGGAGGGAAGATCTGTGGCAGCCAAAATGCTGCTGGTCTGTGTTCTCTAGGGGAAGATATGAGACAGTTTCGGGTGCTAGATCCCCATCAGGCATCAGTACCCATGGAAGAAAGAAGCAGGGGAGAACAGGAGGAGAAACGGGACATGTGTTGTATGGATTCAACAAAGCCATGGTCTGCCTATGGGGTGCTCTGGAGAACTGTGATTGGCCGGTTCCCTGCCTCAGAGGAAAAGCGTGTACTGTGTACTGTTACACCCCACCTTGTTCAGTCACCAGCTGCGCTGCTCAGGGTCGCCATGCCCTTTGGTAAAACAGTTCTCTTTAGCCAAGGCAGACACGGAAGGATTCAATAGGTTCTTGTGTAGTGATATTTTGTTCGTATTTTAACAAATAAAGCTTGCCTGGAGAGCAGAGAGCAGGGCTAAAACACTAGAGGCCAGGCAGTGAAGGCACACACCTTTAATCCCAGGACTAGGGAGGTGGAGACAGGTGTGATGTTGTTGGGCAGAGAGAAGAATATAAGTCGGAGGTTTGGTGGCGAGCATTGCGGTCTACAGTCACGCTGAAGACAGATCGCCCCCATTGTTTGAGCCTTGGTAGAGGTAAGAACTCTCTCCTGGCTTGGCTGCTTTGCTTTTCTGATCTTCAGCTTGAACAATACCTGTCTCTGGGCTTTTCCTAGTCATGCGGCATTCTTGTCATCGGGTGTTTCCTGGCACACTTCACAGGCAGCTGTCAGTCCTTCCCTGAAGGGCGTATCCGGGGCCTCAGCCGTGTCCTCTGGTCCCCTGCTGGTACCTTTTGAACTCCTTCCACGTGTATTCCAGAAGCAGTTCTTCCAGAATTCCCAATGGGCCTCTTATTCCTGACAGAAACCTCACAAGAGGGCGTTATGGGGAAAACTTCCCTGACTCGGACATCACGGCTGATGTTGAGGCCACAGTTAATGCTTCTCTGCTGTCTCCTCTTCATGGATTCCTTATTCCCTTCCCTCTGAGCTTGACCTCTGTGGTTTCGGTGGCTTACCTGATGGCATGACCCACAGCCTCTTCCAGGAATGGGCTGAACCTGACTTCCATGCTCAGCTCAAAGTTGCTGTGTTTGTCCCTGTACTCTCAAAACAGACATTCCAGCAGTCACGTGACACACGAGACACTCCTCACACCCTGTCCCGCTGTGATAATATGAGCTCTGCTTCTGCTGGGCCAATTACCCCATCAACACCCAGGCTTCCCTTCTTTCTTCCTGGTCTCTAGACACAGAGTCCAATGTGCACTGTAGAAGTTAGCTCAGTTCGGGAAATAACCAGGCTAGCTAAAAGGTAAAACAATTATATTTTTTTAATATTTATTTATTTATTAGGTATACACTATTTTGTCTGTGTGCATGTCTGCAGCCAGAAGAGGGCACCAGACCTCTTTACAGATGGTTGTGAGCCACCATGTGGTTGCCGGGAATTGAACTCAGGACCTTTGGAAGAGCAGGCAATGCTCTCAACCACTGAGCCATCTCTCCAGCCCCAACAATTATATTTTTATTTATTCTAAGGGGAAAACTCACGAAACAGGAACGAGAAGTCCAAGCTCAGCTGTGCTGTGAGGGAACCACACAGAGAGAGGACACCTGGGCCACTGCTGTTTTTCTCCTGGTCCCAGAAAGCACACCCTAACTTGGTACCACCTCTTAAAGATAATTGGTTGAACCCTCCAATCTCTAAAAGTCTGAGGATCTGCACCAGGTGCTTGTTCACTTCAGAGATCTCATCTGTTCTACTCCCTTTATCCTGACATCATTTCTAAGCATCCTGTGTTTCTCACGTTACTTGAGTATGGATCTTAAGGAGGGGGAAGCATCCCAGAGCAGACGTTCTGAAGTGAGCTTTTCAACTTCTCACATAAAACGTGAGAAGCAGAGGGCTAGATTTCTGGCTTAAGAAAGACAATGTGCCCAAAGGCTTCCCCTGTGGCCCCAGAGAGGCTCTTGGAAATGGCACCTTAGTTTCAGGTCAGTTTTGGGTAAAGTAGTTAGCAGGGGTTAATAGCTGTATCATATGACGTCAGCAGTCCCCCACCTGGACATTCTACTGTATCCTGGAGAGCCTGGAATTCTGTGATGTCACCTGTGTTGTGGCAACGCCAACTGCCCTTGAGGCATTCGTTCAGTGCCTGTGTGGTTCACCCACAGCCATGCTGACGCGACTGAACAGGCTGCTTGGGAGACAGGATGGAGAGCGCAGGGAGGCCAGAGAGAGGCCCAGGGAAGATGGCCTTCAGTCTCCGAGTCACACATCAAGAAAGAAAAGGTTCTGGAAAAGCCACAGTGAGTCCTGGGCAGGGGATAGAGATTCCTGAAGGACGAAGGCTTAAGTTGATCCTTTCAGAAGTGGGACTCAGGAGGTGGGAGTTTCTGGAAAGCGATGGTCCTCTTCTGCGTTTCTGAGTTACTAAAGAGCAGACCCCGAGTCAAGGATTTCTGATGGTGTGTTTGGCAGAGAGCCAGGGATGGTCAAGGCTTCAACTGCTGTGCTGAGGGCCCTTGGCTTTCACTCTGCCTCTGTGAGGGAAACACAGAGGGACCACAGTGGTTCCAGTTCCAGCCCTGCCCTTCACCGTCACTGGATTTTCTTTTGCTTATGCGACACTAAAAAGAGGGAGAGTAACGTCCCCTGGACAAAGCAGGAGGTTCTCACATTTTACATCACAACCCCTTGCAAGGCAGGAGCCACCAATTATTGCTGCATGTCAGTGATCTCTAAGGTTTCTGAATTCCTCTCCTCTCGCTAGCCAATCATCTCTCCTCTAACTAGAGTGCAGGAATGGGCTATCACTCTTCCTGGAAGTGTTTGTTCCTGGTGTCTGGGGGCTTCCCTGGGGATGCCCAGGCCTTAGGTAAATTCAGCCTCATCTACGAACAGTTGGTCATGCCTTTGCTAACACTGTGAGGGCTGGAAAGTATTCTTCTGAAGCTTTTGATATTTTTTTCATTATTGCCCATGTGATTTATTATTGCTCTGACAGGACACCCCCAATTCCCCACCACCCCCTACGATGTTTCAGTCCCGTGGATCTTCTCTGATGTGCTTGTTCACTGTATGGATGTGATCTTCCTTCCCCCTCATCCTGGGCTAATGTCTTAGCATCCTTTATTTCTCATCTTATTGATTCCCCGTCTTAAGGATGGGAAGAGCCATTCCTGGGAGGTCTCTGGAAGGTAAATCTTGTCCTCCACCCAGGATGAACTTGTGAATTAGAATGAACTGGATTCTAATAAATCAGGGTGACCTCTGGATTGAAAGGAAGAGGTGCTGAGGGCTTCGGCTGTGACTCAGGGAAGGCTCCTGGAAATGGTAGCTTGGTTTTTTTGTAAATTGGGAAAGAGCTATCTATCAGATAGGTAATGATCCCAAAAGTCTCTTGTCTGAACATTCTATTGTATCCTGGAGAGTGCTTGGCATCTTCTATGACATCACCAGTGTAGTGACAACACCAACTGCCCTAGAGGCATTCATTGTTGATACGGTTCACCAAGAGATATGCACAAGACTAAGTACACCGACTGGCAGAGGGATCTCTGGTTTTCTAAGAAGAAGGTGAGACTCAAATGGGACCTTCTAGAAATGGGGTTTGGTAGGTGGGACCATCTGAAGCAATGGGCCTATGCTGCTTCTCTGGGTTCCTAAAGAGCAGACCATAATTGGAGGATTTCTGCCAAGAGTTAGGAATGGTCAAGGCTGCAGCCGCTGTGCTGGGAGCTCCTTACTACAATTCTGAGTGGGAAAGAATGCAGCAGGAGACAGTGTCACTGTGAGTCGTCAAGGTTGGGTGTTCCTGCACTTTATCCTCAGTGGATATCTGTAGGTTCCATGGGTATCTGATGTGAATATCGGGGGGGGGGGAGATCTCCCCATCCCTGCATTCATCTCTGAGACATTCAGTTGCTTTTAGTCGTGGACACAGGTTAGCTGGTCTGGGAGGTGAAATTCACGAGGGCATCAGGATCTTCCTGCATCTCATCAGACAGGAGCTGACATTTTGAAACCAGCATGACTGGGCTGGCCTGTACCTCCCAGGGTCAGTGGGGCTGCAGTAGGGACTGATGTGTTGTGGGATATTTTACTCTTTTGGCTTTCTTGGGGGACCCACTACCAAGATCCCAAATAAATCACACACAGAGGCTTTATATACTCACCTTGGGATGTTTCTTGTCAGCTTTTCCTGACTTAAATTATCCTGACTACCTTTTGCCTCTGGGATTTTATCTGTAAATCTCACTTTCACTCTTGTTCCATGGCTGCTGAGTGAGTTGGTGGCTGGCTCCTGAAGTCCTCCCGTCTTCTTCTCGGGCTCCTTCTTATTCTCCTCTCAGAGTTCACCTTCTGTTTACACGTTCTGCCTGCTAGACCCACCTATCCCTGCTCCTGTCTCGCTATTGGCTGAACAAATCTTTATTAGGACCATCAGGTGTTTTAGACAGGCACAGTGACACAGCTTCACAGAGTTAAACAAATGCAGCATAAACAAAAGTCACACCGCTGAAAATAACATTTCTCAATATTGATGGACATATCTAGCAATGGTGATTGGGGAAGGAGACATGGCTTATGGGTCCCAACCTGAGGACAGTTGTTCTGCTCTTTGGGGGTCTTCAGTAGGTTCCATGCATTCCCTCTTCCTCGGGCCTCTTTTGGGGACTCAACATGGTCTCTCACAGCCCTGTACCATCTAACTGGACAAATTCACTGATGTCTATCTACCTACAGGGAGTGCTGGAAGAACATCAACCTCAACCTCCGTCACTGAGCAGGAGCAGAAGATGAACAAGGTCGATGAACTGGCCCTTCAGCTCCAGATGATGACCAATGAGAGGAATGAACTTCGTGCAATCCTGGCCAATTACACCAAAGATGATTTGAACAACAGGTAGTCATTATGTCCACTTCTCTGGTGACTGTCTTGACCCTCCTGTGTCCACCCCTCATTCCTCATGTCACTTGAGGCTGCACCTCCAAGGTGTCCTCCTGCCCCAACTACTTTTCCCATGTGCATCTGAGAGGCAGAACTGAAGCCTGGGCAGGAGTGAGATGGGGACACAGGCTGCTCTGCCTCCTCTTACTGAAAAGCAGAGCCTGCGGCCTGAGTCACATTCTATGGATGGGGCAGCAGTGTGTGAGCTCACAGTGTGCATTTCAAACAGGCCTGGACAGGTGTTGGCTTGTGGGAGATGCTGGGGCTGAGTTCATGGGGAGTCTTTGTTTTTGACTGGGTGATTTCTTGCTGGTTGCTCTGAGAGCAGGGCCTGGTCCACTAGGTCCATCTCAGTGTGTGATTGGGAGGCCTGCAGCTCATCTGGGAAGCTATCTGCTCTTGTTTCTTGTACTCTGAGATAATGCCACCTACCTGCCTGTCTCTGACATCCTAATTGTGTATGGCTTTATGTGGGTGAAGGCTAAGGGGCCCAAACATTGCCAATATGGCAGTGGCAGGTTTTGCCCTTTTCACTTCCCTCTCCCTTGATTTTTTTTTACATTTAATTAAATTGTAAATTAAAAAAAAACATTTAATTGCATTCCTAAAATTAGTCCCCAGGGCTCATTCCTTCGTTGGCCACTGACTCATTCCTGAAGCCAAACACCGAGGTCCAGAAATCAAAATTCATTATTTGGCTGTTCTGGCTTACCTGTCCAATCATGTCTCACCAACTCATCCTAGCACAGACTTCCCCTTATCTCATTAAAACCCACCGCTGGGGAAAAAAAAAAAAACATTGCTTGCCTTCAGCCCTTGCCTGATTCAGAGGCAGCTCCCTCCCCCGCCACATTCAATGATTGCTCCTCTGAGTCACTAAATCTTCTTTGTGCTGTGATGTCTGAGTGTGTTCTGTACTGTCTCTGAGGGGTTCCCTTATAGTGTGTGTGTCCGTCCAGATGCTAGGAGTGAGAGGTGGGTAGTAGGGCTGAGGATTTGTTTGTCTCAGAGTTTCAGGTGATATAAGTGCTGAGGCCAGAGAGTCCCACTTTGAGCATCCCTGCCCTCATTCTTCGAGCTCGCCTTGGTGACTGAATGGAATTCCCTGGGGAGTTTATGAAGTCATTGTACTGTATGGTTTCCTCCGTGGAAATCTTGATTATAAGTTCTGGGCATCCCTGTGAAAACAGGAACACAGAATAAACATTTTTTTTTTCTGAAGACAGGAGACATGTCATCATTGTTTTCCTGTAGGCCCAGACCCGTGGCACAGACTCCTGGGACATCTTAAAAAGAGCTAGTTTGTTCCTCCAGGCCTACTAAAGAAGCTCATGTAGCCTGTCTGTCTCTTGACGCTCTGCCTTTCTGCCACTGGGGCAGCTTAGCAAGTCTAAGAAACATCAACAGGTCCTAGTACCTAGAATTCAGGATGTGACATCCAGTGGACTAGGATAATCCGAGACACAGCCTTAATTCCTGTGTTCATGGGGTTCTTTGTTCCTGGGCGCATGCTCTACCATAGGCTGAATTCTGAGCTTGAGGAGCTGAAAATGGATCATCAGAAGGAGATGTCAGAGATGGAGAAATTCCACAAGGAAATTAGAGAGAGCTCATACAAGTCCAAGAAGCTGACTGAGAAGATCAACACCTACCAGTGAGTGTCTGATTGGATGGGACCCCCCCCTCCCGTACTTCGGAAGGATAGCTTCTCCCCGCCCCCCTTTGTCTTTGAACCAATGCGAGGGCTGTGGTTCTAGCTTGTTTACCTTGTACTTGTCCTCCCAGACTGATTCCTCCCAAGAGCAAGGAGTCCGAAAGCCCCTCCCAACATGATCCTATCAGCTTCCAGAGCTTCTAGATAGAAAACATGGTTTGCACCATAAATGGTCTCTGGGACTCTGACAGGGGCTTACAGAGTCTGTTGCTATGGGACACAGCTGTGGAATGTATTCCCCTTGGGTCCTCTGTCCTCCCTCAGACCATGTTTGCTCTATACCTGATGATGGTCTCCCAATACCATGATCAGTGTAGGACCGATGTGTGTTAGGGGTGCAGAGTTCTCAGAGGTACATCACCTGGGTGACACTGGACTGGCTAATGTGGGCTGCAGTCTGGGGCTGTCTGAGGACATGGGACCTTGCAGGGAAGGTGGTATTAGTAGGTAGGAGTGGCAGATGGAGGAGGACCGGAGCTCATCATTGCTTGTGATGGTTAAGCACCCTCCACAGCCGCCTTCTGGGGGAATGGACACAGATGAAGGAAAAAGTGGGCATGTTGAATGAAGACAAGAGAAAGCTGAAAGAGGAGCAGATTTTCCTGCAAGAGTCCTGTGAGGAGACAAGGAGGCTCTGTGAGGAGGCCCACGAGAAGATCTATAACCTCTGGACCAAGCAGCGGCAGGTAAGCTGAGGCGGCAGGAGCAAGCTGCCCACCTATCTAACCGCACACACACACACATATGTACACCGTCATGTAACCGTCCACTCAGTTACCCAGCTGACCACCTCCATTTCGTCTAATGGTTCATATCTGGGATCCTTCACAAGTCTCTCTGGGGAGTAACCTCTTGGAACACACAACCTGACTGGAAAACAAACCATCCCGCTCTGATAGAAGCTGCAGTCCACTGAGGGAGATTGGTAAATCACATATCACACACCTACATGTCAGTACGGTAGGAAGGGTTCTATGTTGGGAGCCACATAAAGAGAATCACAGAGCTTTGAGTGAGTGTGTGAGTGAGGACAAGGGCCTGGGGATCATTTGCTTGCTAGAACAGAATATTTCTTTTCTGCTTAAGCTACCAGGCCAGAGCTCTTTGGATCTCCCGTCTCCTCTCAGGTAGAGCTTCCTATCTTTTTCGGCTTCATCATCTTATTGCTAAATGGTTCTTTTGGTAAGAAAGAGAAAGGACTTGGTGTTTTCTCTCAACTTTTACACATTTTCACTATTTTGGAATTAATGTGTTTTATAATACAAAAATTCAAACCCCAGAGCTTTCTTGAAAACAAAAAGTAGACTTCTTTCCTTTCACCGAACTGAGGTAACCTCCCAGGAAATGTCTGCTTTGTCTCATTGGCTTCACAGCACAGAACCTGGCAGGAAAGACCAGTTGAGGATGTGTGTCCTTCTCTGCTCTGGGTGAAAGGTGACTGTCCACTAACGACTTTCCTGCATCCTGTGTTGTTCTTCTTCTCATCATTGCCTGCTACCATTTTTCTTTCACCTTTGTCTAATCTTGGTTCAGTTGGCTTTGTCCTTGGATCTTGATGAAATTCTGAACTGCAGAGGTGTCTCCCTCCAGCAGAAGTCCCGTAGCCACGCTGAGCTGTGAGAACAGGCTGTCTTAGTGCAGCCCACTTGGGCTCATCATAGTCTATATCACTCACTACACGTTGTGTCTGCAGCGCTCAGAAGCTGCTTTCATTCCCAGCTTCTTTACGCTGAGGTAAAGTTGGCCTGATGAACGTTGGCAGAAATGAGGACCCCCCAACCCCCCGGCATTGCTATGGTGTAAAATTGTGTAGCCCTGGGGGAAGCTATGTATAATTTTTCAGAAACTTGGACTGCAGTCACAAGATGACCCTGTGATCCCAGAATGAGGAGGAAGGGTCCACAGAGAATCTAGGGGACACCTGGGTTATAGAAGCATTCCTCAGAGCACCGCCAAACCAGAAAAATATTCAAATGCCCATCACTGATGAGTAAAAATTCAGTGAAATCAGGCCCTTCCATGGAATACTGTTAAGCAGGAAATAATACACGCACTCATTTGGCCATGAGTCAGTCAGCCTTCTGTGACTTAGAGAAATCCCCAACATAATCATCTTACTAGACGGAAAGGTTTATTTGACTCCTGGTTGTAGATATTTTCTGGTTTTCTGAACTCATTCCTTGAACTCATTAGGCCAAAACTGAGGCAACCTGTGGTTCAGAGAGCTCCTTTTGGAGGAAGCTGCCCCCCTTGGAGTCACTGGGAAGCACTGAATGAGAGCAGAGGGCTGGTCCACCACCAGGCAGTGGTCCTGTACCACGGAACTAAGCCTTTATTGTACAGTCTGGAAAACTTGCTACGCAAACGTGGCTAACTGGGTGAAGGAACCCTGGCATCCACCATTTTGTGGCTTGGGTTTCTAAGGCAAGCACTACATTGACTGCTCTGTCCACTGTGTTTTTCTCCCAGGGACCAGGCGTGCATGTGGTGCATAGACACACAGGCAGGCAAAACACACACACACATAGAAAGTAGAAATAGAATGTAAACTCATCAAAACAGAGCCAAAGTTCACAATCCTCACCACATCACCACATCCCTGTGCCTGGGTTAGGATACAGGTGGAGAGGGTGTGGGCTAACGAAAGTTAACTCTCTTCTCTATACGATCCCAGGTGATCTCTTCCTCCATTAGTGTTAGCTAGGAACTACACATGTGGATGCAATGCAGTGTGCTTGTATGTGTGCATCCATGCACTTCTGTGTGTTCGGGAGTGTGTGTGTTTGTGTGTGTCTGTGTGCATGCATGCACACATATTTACGTGGGTGCAGACAACCCTGTCCTAAGAACACAATTTTCTAATGATTAGGAACAACAAAGACTGGAGAAACATCTTCATTCCCTACTGAAGCCAAAGGAACTGGTTACCCAGCAAAAGGACTCGGCAGTAAAGCTGCAGCATCACTTCACGGAGTCCCAGACGAGGTAGGAGCATGGACTGGCAGAAGATGGAGTCTAGTGCATCCCCTGTACCTGGATCTCTGTCCTCTTTGGGGGTTTTATTCATTTGGCAAGGCTCCCAGCCACAGCCAGGGAAAGAATACCTCAGAGTATCGAGTTGGCTAATACCAGGAACTTTTGTCCAGGAATCAATATGTTTGATTATTGGTCTTTTGAGGATAGTGTCCCCTTCTTCTCTTGTGAGAAGCAGGAGGTCAATTGTGAGGGATGGTGTGTCCTCTGCCACTTTATTTTCCTTCAGGAACATCACATTGAGAGAGAAGTTTCTAGTCTGTGGCTGATCTGAATGCAGCCCACTCCTGCTGGTTGCAGGCTCTCTGCAGGGTTCATCAATTTCCTGTGAGAAGATTTACTCTGGCCATAAACAGATTAGGAGCTGACAAATTAACCCCATGCAGGTTCTGAGCTGTAGGAATAATCAGAGCCTTCTCTGCAATGTTGTGTAGGCTCCACTAGAGGGCAGACATGGAGTTTTACAGGTTGTTCACATTGACCTGGTATCCAATCAGGATTATCTTTCCTGAACTGTGACTCAGACATTGACATTTCTCAAATTAATGTTTTTGGGCTGTTGGGAAAATATACTCTTTTTTTTCCCCAGTCAGCAGAGTGTATTTTCCAGTTCAACTTTTAGTGGTTTTTAAAAGTTGAGAAAACATCCAGCCCAGGGTCTCTGTGACCCTTTTCCCTTGGGGGAAACAGCGAATGAGCTCAGCTAAAAGGTGATGCTGGATTGTGTAGCTAGTGGGGGCTCAAAAGCTGGCATGGCAGGGCCCCACCAGGCCTCCGTCCTAGCTGTCCATCTCCTCTAGGTCTGAACATCTTGAGCACGAACTGGAAGAGACCACAGCCCAGGAGGAGAGCCTCCTGCCGATGGAGCTGCCGCAGCAGGAGCACTATGTGCCAGGCAAGTGAGCCACCATGGAGCCCCATTCCCACCAACCTGGATATTCATGGTGTGGGCTTTCTTCCTTGACTTCCTTGACAGTTTCTATGTCTGATTTCCACTTCTTCTCTGACAGCACCTCTTAAGAGAACTGAGAAGGCTGGAGGAAGCCAGAGACACCTTGAAGGCATGACATTCTACTCTCCAGGATCCAAGCCTCCTCTGAAAAAGCCACGTCCTTTCTGCTGTGAATTCAGCATTGAGGAAAACATCAACCTACCATCAGAGGATCCAGCCACAATCTGATCCACCTCTGTTGGTTCACGTCCAGAGAAAAAAGACTGCATCAGAAATAAACCTGAGATTCAGAGGACACCCCATGAATTACACAGAAGCCTAACATCCATCACCTAGTTGATGTAGGTGGGTCTTGTAATAATAAAGAAACTGCCTCAGCCCTCATAGGACAGAAAATTAGGTAGGCGGAGTAGACAGAAGAGAATGCTGGGAAAAAGAAGCTTAGTGAGGAGTCGCCATGATTCTCCCGCTCCAGACAGACTCAGGTTAAGATCCTCCCTGGTAAGCCAGCTCGTGGGCTACATATAATATTAGAAATGGGTTAGAACAATATGTAAGAGCTAGCCAATAAGAAGCTGGAACTAGCCGGGCCAGGCAGTGTTTGAAAGAATACAGTTTCCGTGTAATTATTTCTGGGCATAAACTAGCCATGCGGGCGGCCGGGTGCCGGGGACGCAGCCCTGCCGCTTCTGCTTCTATTTCAACACCTAGTGGCCCTGGTGTGGGTAAAACAACATGGAGGGGGTTATGTGGGTGAACAAGAGTTAATCTGTCAGCTACTGTCAAGGGCTTTGGCAAGCTGACTGCATCTGTGATGTGGAATCTGACAAGGAAGACTCTGTCACACTGCCATCCAGACAGACCACACGCAAAGCCTAAGATTCTCTCTCTAGTGCAGAGCTGACGCTGACCCCATATCACGCACAAGTGTTGGTGATGAGAATTCCCTACAGAGACGAATCCACTTCCTCCTGTCTCATGTTATTGATTTCCTTTTACTTAAAGAAAATCCCAAAGGAAAGTGGGAATTTTGATTAATTTTGTTTGGTTGGTTGTTTTTGTTATGTTTTAGATTGTTTTGGTTTGGTTTATATATTGGGATATCTGCATTCGGGTTTTTTTTTTTTTTTGGTTTTCTTCATCTTAGTGTAAGGTTTTGTTATCTTTTGTTATTTGTTTTGTTCTTTCCATTGTTTTAATAGTTTGTTAAGGTTACACACTGTCTATAATGACCGCCGTCTTAAAGCCCCCATTGAATAAATGAATGCTTTATGAATAAAAAGCAATTTCCAACTTTTCACTCTTAAGACTCTTCTTTAGTCAGGTGAGCTGTCACACTCCTGTAAACCCACAACTCACAGGCGTGGATCTGTATCAGCAAGTTCCAGGCCACTTGGGCTGCACAGTGATTTCCCAGCCATGGGCTACACAGGCAGATGGCACCTTGGATATGGATACGGATGGCATGGCCTGCTCCGTGTATACCCAGCAGTCTACAGAGAAACTAGACATATCGCATCCTCGGGGTCATATATTCAGCTTCAGTAGAATGTGGTACACACCCTGTACAACATGTTCATGACATCATCATGCAGAGAAAACTAAAGGGAAACACAATTAGCTGTAGCCGAGGGTTTTCTGTGTTCTGCGCTGTCCGATTGATGCTTATAAATAATTACTCTGAGGTTTAATATTAATTATAATTGTTGGCAGGAGCCATCACTATTAATGGGGAGGGCAGAACATAGAAAACAAGCTTTCCCGCTAATGTGTTTTTACTAAGACAAAACACCAGATAGGAACATTCAGAGCGAGCCTGCACCAAAACCAGAAGTAGGGGTGTTGCTCAAAGATGGTGCTTACCTATGCCCTGGTCTCAGGGTGATTGGCAATGAAGGCGATTTTGTGTTTCCACCTGAGACAGCGTGATCGACAGTGAAGACTCCAAACTGCAAACTGTAATAATAGTGTTTGTTTGAGGTCCTCCATGTCAGCAGGACTTGAACTAAGGAGACTGGAGTCTGTGTCAAGACATTAGCTAGGCGTGGGGACACGGGGCCAAGAAAGCAGCACACCAGACGGGAAGGACAATAATTGCCGTGACTCGGATTCGAACCGAGGTTACTGCAGCCCCAATGCAGAGTACTAACCACTATACGATCACAGCGAGCCACGCCGAGTGATGTGCTCTACAGCGGATGCTCACCCAAGCCTCAGTCAAGCTCAGCCTGGCGCGGACCGGCCTGTGCTGCAGAAGTGATTTCTCTAAAGCCGCTGGGTTGGGAGCGGCGCCTAGTGCACGCGTCCGTGCCTCGGTTGGGTGGTGAGGGCAGTCGCTAACTGAAGTCTGCGGGTCGATACCACTCCTGCAGGTGTAGTATTTCCCCCAAGCACGTGACAGCCTTTCATTGCCCTCCTCTCCGTGGTGGCTGGGCCACCTGGGGAGGGGGCGAACTAGCGGTCCAAAGCCTTCCCTAGACGCCGCCCACCGGCAGAGACCAAAACCGTCACTGCCGGTCCCCAGACTCCTTACCAAACACAGCCGGGCCTGCCCGTTTCTGTGATTTATTTTGGTTTTTCCACATCCCATGGTTTTCGAAATAAATCGGTTCCAGGGTTTTGTGACTACGAATTAGGCTGTGGTCGCCTAATTCTCATGTGCATATCTTTAGCCATTGGTGGAAAGTTTACCCATTTTATTAAAATCTGGCCCGTTTCCTGTGCTTTGGTGACTTGTTGTCCATAATTTTCCTTCATTAAGGAGGATCCCCACTCTCCGTCATCCCCAAATAAAACAAAGACAGCAGGTGGGGGTTGTCCACAGGTGCCCCCCTCAGCACTCCCACTCCCCAAAAAATTAGCTTTGTTGTTCTTCCTGCCAGAGGCCAGGCCATAAAGAGACAGCGTGTGACAGGTAAGGAAGGCCTTAAGTGAGCTGGGTTTTTCGTGGGCTTCGGGAATTTCTGAGAAGGATGTAGGGATGCAGGGATGTGCACTTTCCAGTTGCCAAGTTAGCACACAAGTGGCTGCAAATTTGGAAAAGTTAAACGCCCAAAAGTTGTAGTTCCTGGGTGGCTTTGAACCACCAGTCTTCTGATCAACAGTAGAACCCACTAACCGACTGTGCCACAGCCACAGTTAATAAGGCTCTGCAGCGTCTCCTATGTGATTTCGGCTTCACTGCGGCGGCCACACCTGGGTTGCCCACCTTGCGGGGGCCGAGCATCCGCGTGCCCCACGGCCGCTTCCCGAGCTCACGCGAACGTTATGGACCCGGCGCCTCCGGGACGCTGGGACCCCGCGGGGTGTCTGGGCCGCGGGGAATCCACGCTGGCGGACTCACCGTCCGGGCTCCCAATAGGACTCCGCGAAGGAGACCAAGTGCGCTTTAGGGTCCGATCCTTTGCAAACCCGGAGCACAGACACGCGAGGAGCTGGTCACCCCAGGTGTGTGCTGGAGCCTCGGGCGCGGCCCCGCGTGGGAAAGGCGAGTGCGGTGCCAGTGCTCAGGCGGTACAGACGGGTAGGAGAAAGAGGGACTTGACCTGGAGTAGAGAGGGACGAGGGTGGATGCGACTGTGACTACGCGACTACGCAACGCAGGGATCTGAGGCGGAGCCGGGTGCAACCCAGGACGTGTCCGCGAGAACGGTGACCATAAAGAGACTGGAGCTTATGTTTAGGGAGATATAAAACCACGAGGGGTGTTTTGTTTTTAATTAACCAGAAGAATTGCATCTTAGCAACGGTTGATGTCTTTCAGCTAGAGGTGCGCTGGTACTGAGCTGGAGTCAAGAAAGGTGTTGACTACCAGGCCAAAATCTAAAATGAGACCACTTAAAAGGCAAGATAAGCCACCTAGACACATACTAAGGGAAATAAAAGGAGACTGTAAGGAAAAGAAAACAAGAATATCCCTTTTTTTAAAACGAAGATAAGAGGGGAGAGCGCGAACGCAGTCCCCCACTAACAAAAATTATGCAGTCGAGTTTCCCGCATTTGGGGAAATCGCAGGAGTCAACACACCCCAAGTGCAATGGGTGAGCCTCGCCCTGGGAAAACCACCTACGTGATCATGGTATTTCCCCTGCCAGGTAAGTATGCTTTTCTCACCCACAGCCCCCACTCAGCCCCACCGGCCCTGCACTCTGAACTCACGGTCACTTCTCCGCTTTTCCCAGGATCGCCCCGGACGCGCACACTCGATTCATGTTCCCCGATGCCACCCGCAGACCCGCGCTCTCTTCCACGCCGCGTGGAAATCCCTCGCATTTCCACAGAGGTTGCGGATGCAGCAGCCCCTGCGCGACCCTCATCTGCATAGACCACGCCCCCAACTGACACCCAGGGGTGACACTACACCATTCCCCTTCGCCCCGTTGGCTTGGTGAACTTTCTTGCTTGCAGAGAGCTGGATGGAGTGTTGCAGGACCAGAGACAAATCATTTTGTATTATCTCCCACCCCAAATAGCCGATGGCGGCTCACCGCCGTGGCCTAACTGCCTTGTGGCTGGTTTTGGTGCGCAGCGACAAACCCCTATCTTCCCCAAATACGAAGTCAGAGAAGTCAGGCAGCAAGAGAGGCCAGCCCTACAGCAGAGGTCTCCAGCTTCGCTCGAACCTGCCTACCTCATGTCTCCACCACTGCAATTTACAAGGCTCTTGATGTATGGTTTTCTCTGTTCTCTTCTACAGAAACACCATGAAACTGACGCTATGTCGGGACACGGTATTTGGGATGACCCGAGTCTGTGTTTCTGGTCCAGGGGATCCACTCTGCCCTCTTTGGACCTCCTCAGGTTCCCGCATGTGTGTCTTAAACACATACAATCAGGCACAAACGCCCATACCCAAAATAAGTACTCTCTTTTCTGTGTTGTGTATGTGGGGGAGGGGCATGTGTCTGAGCCGTGGCTGGCCACAGGAGGCACCGCTGAGATCAGGAACTAGGGACACTCTGAGGGATGCCCTCCGGAAGATTGGCCAGCAGGGAAGTAATAAAGAAAAGATGAGAGGGTGAATTGAAGGATGAGTGTGGAGTTTTTTCAAGTCTGCTCTGGTAGTAAAGATAATAATAATAATAAAAAAGCCCAGGACCAGATTGTTTCAGCTCAGAATTCTACTAGATTTTCAAAGAAGAACTAATACCAATGCTCCTCAAATTATTCCACACAATAGAAACAGAAGAAACATTGCCAAACTTTTTATGAGGCTACAATTACCCTGATACCCAAATCACAGAAATCTAAGAAAGAGAATTACAGACCAATCTCACTCAATAACATTGATGCAAAAAATACACAATAAAATACTTGCAAATCAAATCCAAGAACACATCAGAACCATCATCCACCATGATCAAGTTAGCTTCATCCCAGAGATACAGGGATGGTTCATCATACAAAAATCTATCAACATAATCCACCATATAAATAAATTGAAAAATAAAAACCACATGATCATCTCATTAGATGCCGAAAAAGCTTTCAACAAAATACAACATCCCCTTCATGATAAAGGTCTTGGAGAGAGCAGGGATACAAGGAACATACCTAAACATAATAGAAGCAACATACAGCAAGCCAACAACCAACATCAAACTAAATGGAGAGAAACGCCCAGTGATCCCACTAAAATCAGGAACAAGACAAGGTTGTCCACTCTCTCCATATCTATTCAGTGTAGTTCTTGAGGTCCTAGCTAGAGCAATAAGACAACAAAAGGAGATCAAGGGGATACAAATCAGAAAAGTAGAAATCAAACTCTATTTGCTGATGATATCATAGTATACATAAGCGACCCAAAAAATTCTATCAAGGAACTTGGTGGGAACGAAAGTGTACAAGACAGCTGTTGTCCTAAATTCACTGTATCATCAAAAGCAACACCGATGGAAGAAGTTAAGTCTGCATGTATTCACTTAATCTGGGGTAACAAGCACTCTCAGAATGAGATGTTTTCTGCCGTGATGTTGGACGTTTGAGTTCTTATAGATTATATCGAGTGATTTGGGATGGGGATAAAATAAGTCACAGCATCAAAAGGCCTGTCCTCAGCTAAAGACAATACAAAGTTACTTCACAAGAAATCAATGGGGACCCAGCACCTTTGGTAAGAAACAACAAGCCTGGGAGAGGGGTAGGGATGGTGCTGTAAGGAAAGAAGAGTGTGCTTATAGGTCTGGAGTTCAGGCACTGGAAACCAAGAGTCGGATGCTACAATGAGGAGAAATGGGGGTATTGGAAGGATCTACATTTTGGGAGAAAGAAGGGAGGGGCGGGGCTGGAGAGAAGGTTCAGCAGTTAAGAGCACTGACTGCACTTCCAGAGGACCCTGGTTCAATTCCCAGCACCCACATGGCAGCTCACAATTTTCTCTAACTCCAATTCTAGGCGACCTGACAGCCTCACACAGACATACATGCAGGCAAAACACCAATGCACAAATGAAAGATACAAATAACTCTACTTTTCTATGATGTACCTATATACATGTATATATATATATATATATGCAGCTATAACATCTGAATTTAAAAGACATTTTCCAGATTCTTTTTATATGTGTGGCTGGTATATACTTCTTCAAGAAGTTTATAGTTTAGGGTGAATGGCATAGTACAATTCCTAATGTTTTTGTATCTCTTACAAAGAACTTTGAAAGTTTTATTCACAGTAACCCTCTGATATGGGGATCAATCTTTGCCTTCTTTCAAAGAAAAGGTGATATTGTCAAATATCAAGAGATGTTTCAGACAATCCAGAGATAAAACAAGTCAATCAAATTTAATAACTAGAGATCACTTCATCTATTATGCTTTAGTGGTACAGGGAAACTGAGGTCAGAGGTGAGAGGGTCAAGGAGAAGAAAGGTGAGGTGTATCTATAGATTGGTACACAGCCTGTCGGTGTTCAAAACGTATTTGATGAATGAACAAACTATCTGGGGCTAAATATTAAAAGATTAAATGCTAAAACATCAAAAATTAAAACCTTTGTATCAGATCACACACCTTTTCCTATTTTAATAATAACAAGACAAAACATAATGTAGCACAGAGTTACATAGGTTTGGTGGGGGCGGGAAGGTAAGAAACTTCAAAGATCTCATTTGGCGGTGGCAGGATCTGACGTGCCCCCGGCCGGACCAGGGCGGAGCTCCGCTCAAACTGAGATGCTGCCACACTCTGCGGAGCTGAGTCAGGTCGGGATCTTCTCGCGGCCCGTGAAGCGACGGGCACCAACTACAGCCAAACCAGCCTGTCGACGGACAGAACGCCTCACCAGTTATTAGACCGTAAGGATTCAGACGCCCCGCTGTCTCCAAGGGCAACGAGAGACCTCACTTCCGGAAACGTCGCGTACGGAGGGCGCTGCTATTCTATGTCACTTCCGCTCCCTGGGCTTTGCGGATCTGGGGAGGGTGAGGTGGGGTTACATTGGACGGGATTGTTTCTCTTCCGGCGCTGGACACTGTATTAGAGAAGGCGTTAGAATCGCTGCGTCCGCTAGTGGCAGGCTCTTCCTGCAGACCAGGCCTTCGCGTTTCTGGTCAGGTAGCACCGGTACGGTGGCCGAGGAGGTTTGAGTGCGCCGGAAGTCGTCCTCGGCGCTCGCGCCTGGCTGGGCTAGAGACGCACGTGGCGCGGTGAGTGCTGCGGGACGAATGTGGGAAGGAGCGGGCGGGGATGTGGCGGCGAGGCTTGGGCCCCGGGGCTGGGGCGAAGACACCCCCTGTCTCCGCGCTCCTCACTGGCTGTGTGGCGGGTGACGGGGCTGCGTTTCTGCTGTCCTCTCTTTGGGGTCCTGAATGACGCTGCGGGGACCAGATGAATGCTCAGAGCCCGCAGTGACCAGAGGGAGCGGGCCTTCTCTCTCCCCAGGCCGGAGAGAACATGTCTTTCCGAGGAGGAGGAGGAGGTCGCGGAGGCTTTAATCGCGGTGGCGGAGGCGGCGGCTTCAACCGTGGCGGCGGCGGTAGCAACAACCACTTCCGAGGGGGCGGTGGCGGCGGCAATTTCAGAGGCGGCGGCCGAGGAGGGTTTGGACGAGGGGGCGGTCGTGGAGGCTTTAATAAATTCCAAGATCAAGGACCTCCAGAACACGTCGTCTGTAAGACATTTTAAGAGCTTAATCTCCTCTGCAGTGGGAGTGGAGTCGGGTGGGGTTTATGTGACCAGCAAGTTTGATGGTAGTCTCCGAAAGGGCACACTGACTTAGCATCCTATCGGAGCTGTGAGGAAGCGATCATGAGAACTGAAGTAGTGCGGTGGTGAACTTGAGTTTGGACTGAAAACACGAGAATTAGACATTATTGAGTGGATAGCCCGTTCTAAAAGAGAGGAAAGAGTTCGGGATTAAGTTTCTTTGCTGTGATCCCTGGTGATACAATTGAAATCCAAAGCCAGGTTTTTAGCCTCCCTAGTCCGCGCTGTTCGTTACCAAAAAGCCAGGGAAATTTGCTTTGGAGAAGGCAACGAAAATGCCTAACTAAAGTAATTTTGAATAATTATCCGGGAGGTGGGATGGACGTCTTGGGAAGTAAGAGGAAAGAGAGGGGTGGATCTGTATGTGTGATTGGTTTGCTGGACAGAGTGGCTAAAAGGCAAGGGGTGTTGTAGTAAACCATAGAGGAGATACTGGCAGCCTTATGTTCAATAAGGTGACATGAAGAAAAAGTGGGAGGGTAGGAGGCGTGGCCACCCTTTTGACATTTCTGCATGGCAATGTCATCTGTGAAGTTCACACCCAGAAACATGCAGCCTGATTAGCGTGCACACACACACTCACACACAAACTCCCTTGCACAACCCTGCAAAATCGTGTTTTAAGTGAGTGTACCATTTTGTGATGGGCTACGTTCATAGCTCTTCATAGCTGACCTGCAGGCCGTACATTTGGTGGATGGATGAAAAAGAAGTTTCAAAGAAAACATAATAAGTAGGACTTGGCTAATACCGGGAATGAAAGGTTCTAGTTGTTAAGCATGGGGAGTGATTTTTGTAAATACAGTGTTTAATTCTAGGTTATAGAAACAGTGGTACTTACTTTGTAATTCCTGAAAAGGATAATCAAGTGGTAAAAATAATGAGTTCTAAGGAAGAAGGGAACAATAAAAAAAAAAAAAACCCAGGCTGATTGATGTTTATAGGTTGGGGAAAAGAAAGACTAGTCAGTGGACTACACTGTTTTCATTGTGAAAACCATGGCAGGGTGACTGTCTTAGGTTGGGTGATCTCTGTGTCCAGACACTGTTCTAAGCACTTCATTTGTTCTGGTTAACCATGTATTAGGCGTGGCTGCAGTGAAATATGACTGGCTTCATGTACAAGCGCACGAGAGAAGGGGAGTCTCTAAGAGGTCCCCCAGTAATGGTGTGCTAACTTAGGACCACGTTGTTGATAACCAAGGTCTGCCTTGGAGGTGAGATATGGGAAAAGACCAAGTGGTCAGCAAGTTGGTCCGTGTCTGAAATGGGCCCATGTCTGTTTTCTTTTCAGTGTTAGGAGAGTTCATGCACCCCTGTGAAGATGACATCGTTTGTAAATGTACCACAGAGGAGAACAAGGTGCCGTACTTCAACGCTCCTGTGTTTTTAGAAAACAAAGAACAGATTGGAAAAGTGGATGAGATATTTGGACAACTTAGAGATTTTGTATCCTTTCTAATGGGCTGAGCCAGTGATCTCATTCAGGAATTATTGTCCCTCCCCTCCCCAGCCAGGTATCAGCTAAAGCAAACTCACTGCTTCGTTTAGTAGATAGCAATGCTACAGGTGGACCATAAGGAGGACTGTAGGAGAGAATGCCTTCACCCACTGACTTTATGGAAAGTTCTAGGAATGGAGGCCATTTGGATACAAGCCGCAGGATTGTATTTGCTCTGCTGCTGCTTTACAGATGATGGCGCCACTAGACTATCATGATAGGATTGGGAGGTACTGATTTTTTTTTTAAATTATGGTTTTTAAAGAAAATATCATTTCCTCTTGGAAGTTTCTTGATTTCTTATAGCCAGGCATTCTTTTTAAAATGCTTAAACTCAAAAGTTTATTATCTTTTTACAACTTTCTTTCTTACTTGTTCCTTAATTATAATTAATAGTATTTTTCAGTCAAACTATCAGAAAACATGAAGGCATCGTCCTTTAAAAAGCTCCAGAAGGTGAGTCAAACTCATAATTAAAATTCTTAGATTCGGAGGAGAATGGTGCATGCTTTAGGGATAGTCTTAGGGGAGGCAGTTAAGGCTCCTGCACTGTGCTGCAGTGGGGCTCTGCAGCTGGTGTGTAGTAACACAGGCATTGAGTCTACGTTCCTGCAAGTGTCTGCTGTGGCCCTGGTTGGCTGAGACCTCACTTGTTGAGATTAGGTTGGCTTCTGATCTGATGTTCTCTTCTTGCCTTCACCTCTGAGTCCTGGGATTACAGGTATAGGCTTTCACACCTCTAAACTTACTAGTCTTGAAAAGTAATGATTTAGCCAGGCATGGTTTTGCAACCCAGTAGTCCCAGCACTTGGAGCCAGAGAGGCAGGAGGGTAGTTGCTTTGAGTCTAGCTTAAGCTACATATTGAATTCCAGGCCATCTTGAGATACTTAGCAATCATCTGTCTCAAAAGCATATAAGTTACTTGGTAGATGTAGATAGATACTAAAAGGTTCCATAGGCATTTCGTTAACATGGTATATTCTGTTTAAAAAAAATTAAACAGTTGCCATGAAACTCTGTAGTGGGGCCATATTTAATTCTAGCCTTCCTTGAGGTGGTACTTTTGAAACTGAAAGCTCAGAATTAACCAGGAAAGATTCTTACATCTCAGATACCTGAGGACAGCTCTTAAGATGTCATCCTTTTAGGTCCCCTTCTTATAAATTTGACCCAGTTGCTCTTAAGTAGCATCCATCATGCAGTTTCAAGAAAGAAGCTAGAGAATTTTGATGTGGTTAGGCTAGTACTTACACGCTGAGCTAGCAACAGCAGAAGGTGGGTTCTGCATAGAGAAAACTGGAGCATCAGGATGGTAAACTGCAGAAGGCTCTGATGGGTATAGACCGTTTAGCGTGGTAATTAGAGGGGTGGGGAAGTCCTTGCTCAGAGCTGTTTATGGGATTTGAACCTAAGTAGGCTGGGCTGTCTAACCGCTACTGTTCAACTTTCAGTTTTATATAGATCCGTATAAGCTGCTGCCATTGCAGAGGTTTCTGCCTCGTCCTCCTGGCGAGAAAGGACCTCCCAGAGGTGGAGGTGGTGGTGGCAGGGGAGGTCGAGGAGGAGGAAGAGGAGGTGGTGGCCGAGGTGGTGGAAGAGGTGGTAAGTTATTGTGGGGGTTTCTAATGAGGATTGATTTATACAGTACACTTTAGTTTAGCATGTAACCAGACTTCCCTTACCTTTATTTCTCTTACATATTGCCCATATTGTTTCCACAGCTTCAACAGAGGAAAAAATTTAATTTTACCTTTGCAAGATTTCAGACCCTTGGATTATTCTTGTTTTAATAGAGATTTTAATAGAGACTGTCACCCATTGCTTAATAAGAGATTCATTCTGAGAAATGCAGTGTGGGCAGTTTCACTATGTACACTTAGACAGATCCTCATGTAGAGCGTGATCGCTCAGCATGGCTTCTTAGTGCAGTGGAGTGTTGTGAGGTGGAGGCTAATGCTGGTGAAATGGGGCAGGCTGCTTTATGATTAGCTTCTTGCGAAAGGGATGTACTGAAGAGTCACGGTATAAAGGGAAGTAAATACACAAACTGGTAGCAGTGGTTTTTAACCACTGTCAGGCATTGGCTGCTGGACACAACTAAATGTGCTGTGCTCTTAGATGACTAGGCTTACATATTCCAACAGTACTGTGAGCGTGGGAGTCATGTCTTGCTCTACAGTGTGAAAAAGTAGGGTTTCCTAGGTCTGTTATTATTTTAGGAGGCTTATATGTTATGCATGAAGTGCTATTTTGTATTTTATATATAAAAATTTCCTAACCAAATTGTAGTTTCTTAGTTATCAATGAGTATTTTGATTTTATATGTTAAGGGCTACCCTTATGTCTACTTAATGTCTAAGCATATTCTTTTAATTTTTCTAACAAGTTTTCCAATGACCTTCGTGTGCATGCTCTAGCACACATACATGCACATACATGTACATATATACACATACATACACATGCAGAAAATACATGTGATGTGGAAAACAGGAAAGGTGGTGATCTTGAGTTAACCCTACTGCTCCACTTGGGAAACTGCTATTTCTTCATCTTTATCTTTTAAAAGGTACTGTAAAACACAATAGATGAACCTGTATTTAGTCTTTATGATTATAGGAATGGCACAACTTTTACAGCTTATCAGAAAATGAGAAGCATCATTATTTAACAAGTATTTCCTTTTTAAGGTGGCTTTAGAGGTGGAAGAGGTGGAGGTGGGGGCTTCAGAGGAGGAAGAGGAGGTGGTGGATTCCGAGGTGAGTATGAGGAAGATGCCTTTAAATAACTGGATTTGTAGATCAATGCTGTCGGTTCGTTTCTTTCTGTTTAGGTTTATTTCTCTCCCAACAAGTATGGCAAACACTGGGATGTTCTTGGCTTTAGCTTAATTTATGGCTCCACTCTCTACCATTACTTACTAATTTCTCACCAAGTTACTTTGTTATGTTAATCATTCAAAAACAAAAAATATATAATATGAATGGCAGTTGTATTTGGTACTGTAAATTTATCAAACTTTGTAGGAACTCCTGTTGAAGTTGAATTTGGGTATTAGCGCTGTAACAAGCCTTCTTGATTTTCCTTTGATCAGGAAGAGGACATTAGATGTGGCAGTTGGTAGACCTCACGTCTTCTGTTTTCTCTGCGTGATCTTCTGCTGTGATTGAAGTCTGTCTGGAGCCTTGAGGATGCCGCTCTGTCAGTGGAGCTGAATCGTCTGTCAGCACTGGGTAGAAACAAGTGGGGCAGAACAGTCGTTTGTGCCCAGAAAGAGCATGAAGACCCCGCTCTGTGCAGTACCTGGGACTTAAGCCTGGTGGGTGCTTAAGGAACAACAGGACTTCTCCTCTGAAGCATACTTTGAGTTTTTTAAATAAAATTTTTTATTTCTTTAACTTATTGTTTATTGATCGAAACCTATTTGTTGAAATTTGGAAGAACAAGCAAAGCTTAAACCCATTGAATTACAGATAGAAAAGGTAGGGTGGGTGAGTTTTGTTTAAAAATACTCTGATTCTAAAAGGTACCAGATAAGCTCAATTGAACACCCCTTCTCACCCCCCACCCACAGGTCAGGCAGTTGGAACAGCACTTTAAAATCACTCAGACGTGAGCTCCTCCTTCAGAACACCTTTTGGATAGGGGCGGAACAGCAGCCTTTGCTGTTCTTCACTTTTGTGTTTTATAATACGCAGATTAAAGCTGTTTCAGTAACCACAGTTAAGAATTATTTTAAAATTTTTATTTTTGAGTCTATTAAGATTTGAGTAGCTCTGTTCATGTGAAAACTATAGTTCAAGAAATTTAGGAATAGATATTTAAATATGGGTTACTAAAGGTTTTCTAAAATAAAATTTTTAATGAAAAGTTACCTTTATTTTGAAAATATTTGACTACCTATTACGTTTTTCAAATCCTGGGTTAGGGATGCTATACATGAAATTGGCTTTGATTGCCGTTGCTAGTGTGTTGTCAGAAATTAAGCACCACAGCAAGTGAGGGTGCCTCAGTATGGAACCGAGTGCCAGCAAGCAAGCCCGCCTCACTATAGAACTGAGTGCCAGCAAGCAAGCCTGCCTCAGTATGGAACCAAGTGCCAGCAAGCAAGCCTGCCTCAGCTCAGTATGGAACCATGTACCAGCTGTAGGTTCTTTTTTTTTTTTTTTTTTTTTTTTTTTTTTGGTTTTTCAAGACAGGGTTTCTCTGTGATTTTGGAGCCTGTCCTGGAACTAGCTCTTGTAGACCAGGCTGGTCTCAAACTCACAGAGATCTGCCTCCCAAGTGCTGGGATTAAAGGTGTGCGCCACCATCGCCCGGCTTTTTATTTATTTATTTTTTGGCAGCTGTAGGTTCTGTTGCTCCCTTGTTGGTTTCTTCTCAAGTCTGTTTTAGCATGAGTTACTTATTCTTAAGTGCTTGTTTTAGCAGTGTGAAATTGTGTTTGTGTCTAAGTCCTGCCTTTTTGTTAATGGAATCGCAGTGCTATAAATACTTAGGCGAAAGCAAAGGCCTGGTGGCAGGAGCAGGTGAGCGCTCACATCTTTATCTGCCAGTGGGAATGGCATGGACTTTTGAAAGCTGCAAGCTGGCCTCCAGGATACACGGCTCCTAATCCTTCCCCAGTAGTTTCACTACTAGGGACCAAGTATTCAAACATGAACCTAAAGGAACCATTCTCGTCCACTTGATCAGTTTGTGAAGGGCATGAACACCCAAGGATGGATGCAACATCAGCAAGAGTCGTGAACATGGCAAAGGTGACAGGATTGTAGAGACTGTACACAAACCTGGAGAATGCACACTTTTTACAATTAGTTTATTTGAGACATAACTCATATCCCAGACTGACCTCAAATTCTGTATACCCAGTGCTGGGGGGGTTGTAGAGTGCAGTGCCACACGCAGTGAAACTTCTCTTTTTACCTTACATGAACAATTAAGTGGTTAAACATTCATTTCTGTATCTCACCCTTGCTGTTTTGTGTGGGAACCCTGCAACAGAAAGGCCCTCCAATGAAGTGGTGATGAGCAAATGCAGCCCTCTAGTGGTTCTGTTTCATGCTGCATGGAATTTGGTGACATTTGAGCCTTGCTTTGAAGCTCTAAAAGTAACTGAGATACCTATACCCCTTTACCATAGCAATGCATGCTCATACTAGGTTTTTATGTGACAGTATAGACAATTAGGATTATCCTGTACTCGATAAGCTGAGTGGTTGACTAAATAGTGTGAACTCATGCGTGCTAAATCGTGAGAGAAGTAACTGAGGTGGCATAGAGCAGGTTGTAACCATGCAGTGGGACATGTGGCTGTTAGGCTTAGGCAGGGATTTATGGACTGGTTTTTCGGGGGAACAAGCTGCACCATATGTGTTTGTGTGTTACATACAGACTGACATACTGGTTCCACATGGTAGATCCCCTCGTTTTTGTTTGAAAGGAAAGAAGTTCTTAGGGTGTACTTTTGTGTGACTAAATAGATACATAAGCAAAAAAAAAAAAAAAAAAAAAAAGCATTAGGATTACACCAGGCAATATTGGTGCCTTTTATGGGGAGATTTGGAAGCATAGGAGTCAATAGAGTATTCAAATTTTTAGGAAAAGTAAATACAAAGGGACCTGAGGTAAAGAGTCTCAACCAGTTTGTGCAGTTCAGTCTCTAGGACAGAAATGCAGCCCTCCGCTTGGAGATGGGAGGGCGGGCTCGATTTCAGGCAGATGAGTTCAGGCTGCTCCTGATTGCCTTTCTGAGTTGGGTTTATGTGTTTTGTTTTTGTTCTCTGAACAGGCTGGTTTGCTTGGTAATCTGCTGATAAATGCAAGACAGGAGCCTAAATTGCTTAAGATGTGTGGTGGTTGGAGTTTCTCTTTAAGAAGATTTCCCCTTGTTCTAGGAATTAAAATGTTTTCCTCTTCGGCCCAATTAAGTGTTAATGGAGGGCCTCTAATGAAAAAGCCTTTCTTTGTGGTCTAGAAGTGGAAATGATTTGTCCTGAAAGAACTTTCCTGACAGGCTGCCGAAGCTGATTGCGATCCACCAAAGGCTCTTCAGAAGGTTGTCTGGACGCTCCAGAATGCTGAGCCACACTTTAGATTCAAACACTTCAGGCTTTAGGAACGAAGGCAACTCTGTGTTTTCAAAGACGGAACACAGCATCATTGCAGCTTACCTGATTGTGGCAGGTATGGGGTTCACTTAGTTACCTGCTTCTTGCATGGGAGAAAAGTAGAGGTGTTTGGTACAAGCATGCAGTGTGGGCTAGCTGGTAAACAAGGGGACTGTACCAGTTGGAGGAAATGCAAATGAAAGAATAAATGGCAGCAGTGGCATGCTGCTTCTTGACATGGAAGATTTTTTTAATTAATGAGAGCAAAGGAGCAAGAAAAACTATGTAAATGAAGTTGTAGACTGGCAGATCTGCTATCCACTCGTTGGAAAGTCTCTGCAACCTGTGAAATAATGCAATGCATACATTAGCTAGAGAGAAGAGAGAAAAGAGGCAAATGATTTGCTTAGTACCAACATTATATTAGAGACTCCAAAATGTAATTGCTTTCCTCCGGCTATGTGCTGGCTAGGCAGCAATTTATGTGCTGTATTTAACCCTTTTTGAATCCAGGTTATAATGTGTTTTTCTCTTTTTTTGCCCCCACAATAGTTCCTTTATGTTTGCTAAAAAGATCCAAAGGATTTTGTCAAATTTGCTACTATTGAGGGAAATGGGAGGCGGGAGGGGGCGGAAATTTTTTTTTCAATAAAAAAAAAAGAATAAGAGAAATCAGGCTGACTGGAGTTAGTGGCATCCAATCATCAAAATCTTGCTGTATGGCACATACTCGAGATAGAGTTCATTGGGAGCCTGAGGTGTATAAGATAGGGCAACATACACGCTGAATGACATCACTCAAGAATAAGAATAAGCAAGCTCTCTCGGAACCTATGGAGAAGATAGAATCCCATGGATAGGAGGCTGCTCTGAAGCCATATGTTCCAAGAGTGCTTGCCTGAACTTTAAAGGGTGGCTAGCACTTCAACATTCATAGGAACAGCACGGGGTATTTCAAATGGGAAAATATGAAGTCAAGATTTGTAGCTTGATGTATCTGCAAAACTTCCAGAACAGTGGGCTTATTTCATAAGCGTGGAAAGAGGATAACAGCAGATTAGGGCAAAGAGCCTAGATGATCAGGTTAGGCCACCGGGCTTTTCATCCTTCAAGTACTGGGGACCTGGAAGCTTCTGTAGAGCTGTTGCTCGTTATTTGATGAAGCAAGCATACCAGCCATGTGGAGAAGAGAGAAGAGGAATATGGAAGACTGGTGTAAAAGGATGCCAGTGAGGAAGTTTTGATGGAAGCACCAAGGTAGAATCGAAGTTCTCACTTAGCTGGTTCTTCTGTGTGTTGGTGTTTGGGATTATTCCCACTGGTTTGAACAGTAGCTGGGGACTGCTCATTACATAGTTATTTTCCCAGAAAACACGATTCTCTTCTGTATGTTGCATAACAAGTCCTGTAATGGTTGCAGCTTCTCCATTGAAACTGATTTTGCAGCAGCCCCTGCCACTGGGACCTGAGACTGGCCTGCATCTGGCCCATGAAAAACATATGCATCCTTTCAGTACGTAGAGGATGTTGAGGCGGCTAACCTTTGCACCCAGTGTGCTCAGCGATGGTTCTTATTGTTAGTGGCCACACTAGCATGCTGGTTAGTAACTTTAGTCCTCAAGCTATACAGCTATCTAGACCTGTCCAACTGTGGGACACTGAAAACACTGGGTTTCTTGATTCCAAGGCTGAGAATCCGATAGCTGTGGTGCTGTCACCTGTGATATTCCAATGACCCAGAAATCTGTCTCGGCCTGTTGTCTGGATGGTCAAGTATTGCAGTATGCATTCTAATATAGTGTGTGTGTGTGTGTGTGTGTGTGTGTGTGCACATGCGTTGAATGAATTTTAATTTTGACATGTTGAATTTTAAATACTGGGAGAGTCACTTGAGCTTACTACTACATGCTTAATGTGCTTGATAATAATGAATCATAAAAACATGAAAAGTGACAAATGCTGTTAGGATGGACTGCTGTTTGAGGCTTGAGGAAGGAAACTAGGCAGAATGAAGAGGGATTTAGTCTGCCGCAGGACAGGGTGGCTGGTTATTCTTGTATCCTAAAGACCCCAGTACATTGGAGTTATGAAAGCTACAGGGGGAATTTAGGGACAAATGGTCAGTGGGTGATGACGTTTGAGCCAGCCTTCAGTGCTGGCTTCTGCAGTCAACAGGTTCTTTGTGTTCTAATTCCATTTTCATTCACAGAAGATGTTACAGTCTTAAGAGAAGTGGGACCTCTTCAAAGAGGACTAAGCTGAATTGCTATCTTTTTTGAAGTAACAAATATTTAATTTTTATTCTATTCTAAATATTAAAGTTAAACAAAATGTATGGTCCTTTTGTGTGTATCCTAGGTATAATAAGCATTCTCAGCAACATAATAGTTTTGGGCATCTTCATTAAGTACAAGGCACTGCGGACACCTATGAATGCGGTGATTATTAACCTGGCTTTCACGGATATCGGGGTCAGTAGCATCGGCTACCCCATGTCTGCTGCTTCAGATCTGCATGGAAGCTGGAAATTTGGATATACAGGCTGTCAGGTATCGGGGAACTTTGGAATAAAACATGATGAAATAACAGATTCAAATTTAAATGTCTTTTTAAGAATCTTAAGAATTGGGGCTGGGGAAGTGGATCAGTGGGTGGTAAAGTGCACCTGGATTAGGATGCCAACACCTATGGAAAAGCCCAGGGTGGCAGCACACACCTTTAATTCCAGCTCGAGGGAAGAAGAGGCAGGCAGGTGACTGGATCCAGAGGCTTCAAGGCAAGCCAGGTTAGCCAAACTCCCTGTTCAGGGAGAGACCCTAACTCAAAAAAATAAAAATAAAACAAAACAAAACTAAAAAGTGGTGAGCAATAGAAAAGACATGTCAACCTCTGCCCTTCAAGTGTTCACACATGGGTGTGTGTACCTACACATCACATGTACAAAACAACAAAAATCCAGTAATTTAAAACAAGAGATTGCAGGACAAGAGGTTTGCTTTTGTGGAAAATAGCGTCAGCAGTGACTGAGGATATATTTATTTTTAAATAGTTTATACTTTTTTCTCTGCCCCCTTCATGCCCTCCCTTCCCCCTCACTCGCTCTCACACACACTCTGTAATCTACTGAATGAGATTAGTGTTGCCTATTGAGTTTTAACTGAACTTGTTGGTTTGTGCAGGTAAACATAACTGTTGTGAGTTCACGGGTGTAACGGCCGTGTCATGTCCGGAAGATAGCATTGCATAGTGGTCTTTCTAAACATGTTCCTACGTTCTTTCTGCCCCCTCCTTTGTGATGTGCCCTGAGCCTTTTGTCAGGGAGGGATTGATATAGCTGTCCCTTTTAAGGCTGAGTACTCAATTATTCCCAGCAACTTATTCTCAGCACGTGGACCAGTTAAGAGCCTTGCGTGAACTGACTACTGCAGAAAGAAGCTTCTGCTGAGGGCAGAGGGGAACACTTACCTGTGTGTGTAAACAGGTGTTTAGAAGGCAGTTAACAGCTCGCCCATTTGGGAAGATAACAGTGGTAGGCACCTCCTTTTTGACCAGGTTTATAGTATGCATGAATTCCTTCCTGCGGAGCAGGCCTCAAATTCAATCTAAAAGTGATTGCTTACCCCATAAACCTTTGTTCCACTGTCCACCAGGTGACCATTTAATATGTTTTGGGTGTAGTCTAACAATGAGACAAAACTACAAATAGTTAGGGTTCGCAAGATGGCTCAGAGGATAAACATTTGCTGTGTAAGCCTGACAACCTGAGTTCGTTCTCTGTGTTAGCAGAGAACCAACTCCCAGAAACTGTCCTCCGACCTTCACACATATGCCATGGCTTGCACATGTTCACATACACACGCGCGTGCACACACACATTTATACACAATAAAAATGGAAATGTTTCATGGGAGGGCTTTGGAATGATAGACTATCAATGATTTGTTTTTCAGATTTATGCTGGATTGAATATCTTTTTTGGAATGGTAAGCATTGGCTTGCTCACAGTTGTAGCTGTGGACCGGTACCTGACCATCTGCTGCCCTGATGTAGGTAATGGCATGTTTCTTGTCCTTCTCAGTGACGTCATTCATTATGTAACAGTCACTCACCTTGTATTTATTTTAAAGTACAGACGATGGTTTGTAATCAGACTGTCTTTTCTAGAAACCTCTGTGCACAAATTTTGATGGCTCCCTACAATCCTTAAAGCACAATCCAGATTTCATTAGGCATCCTGCAAGGCCCTGGTTGCCTTTCCAGCTTCACCCAGGGTCATTCTTGGGTACTTTCACCCTTTGGGACTTTCATATGTGTCCTGGAAAGCTATTGTTCATCCCTATCCACTACACGTTTATCATTCAGGTTTTAGGTTGCCATTTTGTCAGAACGTGAAGCCTCATAGGTAGCTTCGTGCACTCTAAGGAGTTCTGTAGAGAATGCGTTCCATTGAGTCAGCAGTGGAACCAAGTGAGTCCTGTCATTGTGAACAACGCTAATGCTGTGTGTGCTTCTAAACAGGAAGAAGAATGACCACCAACACTTACCTCAGCATGATCCTGGGCGCCTGGATCAATGGCTTGTTTTGGGCTTCGATGCCCATCATGGGGTGGGCTAGTTATGCCCCAGATCCTACTGGAGCCACCTGTACCATAAACTGGCGGAAAAATGATACGTAAGAGATGTGTTTACATTTTATCGTCAGATGCTCCTGAGGTAGACAGCTCTCCTCCTCCTGCCCATGGGGTCCTTGTATAGGCTGTGGTAAAGGCTCCTTTGGTAGTGTGATACAAGTGGAGACAGACGAAAGAGTGGATTGTGCTTGCTTATAGGTCAAGCTCATCTGGCTCCTTCTGCCCCCTTTCTTTGACCCTTTGTTCTGTCCTCTGTCCTCAGGCAGCAATGGCGACACCCTCCCACTCTTTACTCATCTTAGAGTGGGGGTCCCTGCGGGGATTTGCCGTGGGTTAATGACACCCCTCATTTAGTTCACCAAGGAAAATGAATGATGACTCAAAAGCCAAACAAAAACAAAGATTTTCTAAAGTAGTTTCTGTAAAGAGTCACACGTCAGGCCATGCCTCAGCTTTGCCATCACACTGAGAAAGCGCCATCGACAGTTATGGGAGTGTACATGGCTGCGTTTTAGTAAACCTTATCACCAAGACCGTCGACTGGCAGGAACGGATAGCTCAGAGGCCGTAGTTTAATGCTCGGAGTGAAGTATGAGATCTAAGTCAAACACACTTCCTAAACTTTTTAACAATAAAATGACTGTTACCACTAATTCTAGCAAGGATTTCCTCTCCCGCTTCCCCTGGTTTAGGGCATTCAATGAGCTGTCATGATCGTTTTTTCTTATATCCAGGTCTTTCGTGTCTTACACCATGATGGTCATTGTGGTGAATTTCGCTGTGCCTTTGACAGTGATGTTCTACTGTTATTACCATGTCACTCAGTCCATGAGAATTTATGCTGCCCGGAACTGCACTGCGTACCTCAACCGAGACTGGGCCGACCAGGCAGATGTAACAAAGGTAAGAAGCCAAAATCCTTGAAATGTCGTTGGTAATAAAGCTTTAACTTTGTATAGCTGGAAAGTCCTGGGGCTTCTCCCAGGCTCCTTTCCTTTATCCGTAGTTTTACTACTCAGCTCTTTCTGCTGGTGTTTGTCCCATATTATTGAATACTGTGCCTATCTGTCCCTTGGATGTCTCTGTGTGCTATGATCCCTGGGCTTTATCCTGTAGATTGTGAGAATTCCTAAGTCAAACCTGGTCCTGCCCACCCCCCTTCTTTCTAAACCTGAGGTGTGGTAGCAGTATTTGGTTAGATTAAAAAGCTTTCTCTCTTCTTTTGGTATGTGCAAACATACCAGACACAAGGTTCACATTGCCTTCCCCTTGGAGCTGATCCTTCCTGTACCCTTGAGAGCCTTGATTTCCCCTGGTCAGGATGCTCTATAAGCAGAGACTTTCCCTTTATCATACAAACAAGGGGCAAAGGGCTCCTCTATACTCTATACATTATTTGTACAGTAAGTAAAACATGCTGCCAAACGGCTCCCAGTGGAACTCACTTAAGATAGGAGTGTGTTTCCAGATTGAGTTTAGACAGTTTGTTTGGTTGAAATTGGTGGGCAGCTGTCAGTAAAGCCAGAAGTGGGTTGGGGAGGTTTTGCTGCATATTTGCGTGAAACCAGCGTTGTGTGCTTTCCCCAGCCCACGACACGAAAGGTGTTCTTTGCAGTTATGCTACCCTCTTAGCAGCAACGTGACGTGTTGCTCAACACGGCCACTTGCAGTTGTTGTCATAGATGGCTTCAGGAGCTGAAACAAAGAGTAGAAGGCAGAACCCCAGCTTCTTTTACATTACCAACAAAACTTTAACCCAAATGCTCATGCTACTGTACATTCTAGATGCTAGCCTTGGTGATTATCTCTCTCTTTCTTTAGATGTCTGTGATAATGATATTGATGTTTCTGTTGGCATGGTCCCCTTATTCCATTGTGTGCTTATGGGCTTGTTTTGGAGACCCCAAAAAGATTCCTCCTTCGATGGCCATCATAGCCCCACTGTTTGCAAAATCCTCTACATTCTACAACCCCTGCATTTATGTTGCTGCCAACAAGAAGTAAGTAGTGTTTGATGTGCTTTTGAACAAAATGACAGCACAGAAAGAACATTAAAGGCCATGCGTGACTAGTGTCTAGGACTTTCAGAGGCAAATGACAGAAACTAATGCCAACTGTCACAGTTAGGGTTTCTTATGCCGTGCTAAAACACCATGGTCAAAAGCAACTTGCCGAGGAAAGAGCTTCTTTCAGCTTACAGTTCTGTATCACAGTCTGTCACTGAAGGAAGTCAGGGAAGGAACTTGGGCCAGAAACCCGGAGGCAGGAGCTGGTGCAGAGGCCATGCGGTAGTGCTGCCTACAGGCTTGCTCAGCCTGTTTTCTTATAGAACCACCTGCTCGGGGATGGCACTGCCTGCAGTGAGCCGGGCCCTCCCGCATCAGTAGTCAATCAAGAAAGTGCACCATAGCCTTGTCCACAGGCCGGTCTGATGGGGGCATTTTCTCAGTCACGGTTCTCTCTTCCCAAATGACCCTAGCCTGTGTCAAGTTGACATCAAGCCAGCCAGCACAACCACCTGATTAAAGTTATTGGCTTATACAACTATTGAAAACAGCCAAGACCTTACGTATTTAGAGCTCTACTCTTGTGACGGACTCTTCCCACACGGTGGCAGAAATATTCTTGGGCAACCCAGACCCAAATTCTACCAGCTCAGCAAACAAAGACAGCCTTTATCTCAAATGACCATGTGGCAGGAAAGTTCCTGGCTGGTCACTGGTCAGCTGGGTTTGAGTGGTTGCCCCGCCAGGTATGTGGAATAGTGTTTTCCAAAGAAAAGAGTAGACAGGCAGCAAGTCCAGACAAGACACTTGGCTTCGGTAGGTAATTGGCTGTCTACTTACCAGGAGTGGCCAATCACAGGCTCACTGAACTCCTGGGTAAAGTTTAGATTATTTCATTTTCTATTACTGTTGGTTGATGAACCAATTTGTTGTGCTGAATCCTGGTACACCACAGAATGCCACGGCCGTGTCTAAGTGTGTGCTAATGCAAAGATGTGAGAGAAAGAACACACAAGCCTTAAGATGAGGTAGAGCACACAGGGGACCAAAAGACATATTATGAGATCAGAATCTGCTGGAAGTTCTCTGGGCAAGACCAGCGATTCTCAAGCCCCCTCAGATCCAACTGGCCTTTGCACAGAGGACCAGATTTGTGTAAAATAATAACTTAATTCAAACAAGTAACTGCGCTTGGAAGTTGATATGTCATTTTAAACATACATAGGTATTGAGTTTATCAGATGTCTCCATGTTTGTCATCAGTGATGCAAAATTGGCCTTGAACTATCCATCTGTCCTGTATATTTATAAAGGCTCTCAATTGGAGATATTGACATTGAGTGCAGTGACTTATTTAGAGAGGCCCATCAACAGAAATGACTCTTTAGACAAATATAACCATAGACCCTTCATCCAGCAACTGATGGAAACAGAGGCAGAGACCCACATCGGAGCACTGGACTGAGCTCCCAAAGTCCGGTTGAGGAGTGGGAGGAGTGAGAATATGAGCAAAGAGGTCAAGACCATGATGGGTTCACCCCATGGATAGGAGGAGGGAAGGGAGTGGGAACTGGGATTGGTATGTAAAATGAAAAGAGATAGTTTGTTTTCTTTTTTTTAAAAAAAAAACATACATAAAATAGAAAATAAAAAGAAAACAAAAGAAAAAAAGTTTCATGTTACCAGAGACTAACATTTTTTCTTTTGTTTATGACAGGTTTAGGAAGGCTGTGTTTGCCATGTTTAAATGCCAGCCTCACCAAGCAATACCTGAGACAAGTTCTGTACCAATGGATATGCCTCAAAGCCCATTGACTCCTGGAAGAGTCTGAAATGCGAGAAAAGAATATGACATCAAATATTTTGCTTGTTTGGGTTTTTTTTGGCAGTACATTGATTTTGTTTTAAATAGGAATTCATTTAGATCAAGTGCGCACAGACACCATTGCCTTATTGCCTGCAGTTTCCTCCCTCCCAGTCAGTACAGCTCTATTGTGCAGGAGTTGCTGCAGAGCCTTCACTGTGTCCTCGAGGAGAATTGAGTAGCTAAGGCTCCTTGGACGGGTCCAGGCACACAAAGCTGCAGCCTCTCTTCTTTCTCTTTAGAAGGCACACATTACAGTGTGTTGATGACATGTAACTTGGCTGAGTTTCCATTAGACAAGAAATGGCCTCTGGAATATTAGAATATTTTAATATTAGGAAAAGTTAATAAGAGATTGATCAAAATTACAATCCTGAATAATTAATTGCTGAAATGAGTTGGTCAATGTTTCCAGCTATGCCATCCAACATGGCAGAGGTATGTTCACTGCCTCTCTGAGCCATGCTAACATCCCTAGCTCTAGGGATGCAGTGGGTCTGTGTCACCACCAAACAACTTGTAGCACTCTGCTCACAAACCCTAAGTGCTTGGTAGCAGGACCTCTCTGAAAGATCCAGCAAGAACCAGGAAGCCATTTCTTAAAGGAGCTGTGCCTCTGCTTGTGGCCAGCCAGCAAAGAGAGCCTATCTGAAAAAAAAAACAAATGAGGCTACCAAAAGCTATGCTTGGCTCCTGTTTTTGTTGGTCTAGAAGCCCTCTATTTTTTTCTTAAGCTTTTTTAGATCTTATATGGGTCTATGCCCCAGATGGTGGGTACCATTTGTAAACAGAGACTGCTTTTTCATTTACCTGCTGCCTGGCCTGAATAATCACATAGAAACTATGTTAATTACAACACTGTTTGGCCAATAGCTTAGGCATATTCCTAGCTAGCTCTTACAACTTAAATGAACCCATTTCTATTAATCTGTGTATCACAATGATGCTATGGACTACAGGTAAGGTTCTGGCATCTTTCTCCTTTGGCAGCTACATGGCATCTGCCTGGCTCTACCTTCTTGCAGTCAATTTAGTTTTCCCACCTAGCTCTATTCTGCCCTGTCATATGCCAAAGCGGCTTCTTTATTAATCAATGGTAATAAAACGTATTCATAGCATAGAGGGGAATCTCACATCAGGATCCCTTAGCTGCAAGGTCAAAGTTCTCCTGAACATGGCCTCAGAGAGACTTCCTTCCTCAGCCTGGCCCCAGAGAGACTTTCTTCCTCAGCCTGGTCCCAGAGAGATGTCTCATCTTTTTGTAATTCTCCTGTGACAACATTAAAATGTGTTGTACTCCTGAGAGCTTTGTGCCAGGAGCTGCTGGCTTGTTCAGCCCCTGCAGTTAAGCTGCTTACAGGGACAAAATGACAGCAAGGGTCATGAGAGCAGTTAGATGGGAGAGACAATAGTCACAGAGCAGTTAGATGGCCAGCAGTAATGGACACATTATCTAGAGAACTGACTGTGAGTTCTAGTTTGCAGAGCTTTGAGTTCATGTCTACCAACAAAGGATAACTTCCACTTTAATATAATGAATGTAAGCGGTGCACTAATATTTTAACACTGTATCAATCAACTAATTTATACAATGAGACTGACTATAATCATTGAATCTGGTTCCCTGTAGCTGTTGGGCTAACTAGCTTGATACTTTGTCACTAAACAGCTTTTCTATACTTAGTTGGCCACGTCCTGCTTCTCTAGGTCAAAACGTCAATAAACCTGATAATATAAAGACCATTTTGGCCACTTAGTGAGCAGAGTTCTGCCACCAGCTTATTTTCTTCCTCTTGTGCTCACTAACTCAGAGGTACCACCTATCACTGTGTCCCGAGCACTGGGAAACCTTGGGATCGTTTTTAAATCCAGTCTTCTTCATCCCCACACCCAATCAAGTGATTATTCCGCCTCTATTTCTCAAAACCATATTCTCCACACTTTTACCAGAACAGGGAGGTTGTGACTCACGGCTGTTCACTTGGACCATAGCTAGTGGTGCCTACTTAAAAGCCTCCAGCTTCCCTCCTGCCTGTTCTAAACCAGGGGCTCTCAGCCTGTGAACTGTGACCCCTTGGTGACGGGGGTGTCCAACAATCCTTTCCCACATCAGATATCCTACATGCAAGATATTTACATTATAATTCATAACAGTAGCAAAATGACAGGAAGTAGCAAAAATAACTTTATGTTTGGGGTCACCACAACATTAGGAGCTGTGTTAAAGAATTGCAGCATTAGGAAGACTGAGAATCACTGCTCTATACCTTTCCACACAGCCACCAGGAAATCCATGTAATCTGTTGACCTGACGAGCCACTCACAGCTTAACCTTTATGTTTTTGTTGTCTGGAGGCTGAGTGTGGCTCTTTAACTGGGTATCTAAGGCCTTTCCTCTGCACCCTCAGCCTCAGATGCTTAGCTCTGAGCAACAGAAAACGCTTGTGCTTCCCTGAGGTTCTCTTGAAGTTTCACACACACACATACACAAACACACACAGACAGAGCACACCTTTTCCCGCTTCTCTCTACTTGCTTGGGAGCTCAGGGGCCACCCAACAGGAAAGCTTGGCCTGATTACACAGTCTGAACACGATGTTCCTTTGCCTCCTCGTTGGCCTGTGTCTCCATCATTTGGCTTCCTTAGGGATTGCTTAGGGACCAGGTGTTGCTTATCTTTGTCCCTTCAGAACTTGGTTCGGAGGTTGGCAAGAACTCAGTAAATATTTGCTGACCAAGTGAATTGTATAGTCTCTGAACAGCTGCAATGTGATTATTTTTTAGAAGGAGCAATGTTTTCCAGACTGTATTGTCTATATATGAATTCTATGAGTGCTTGATAACATCATGTAATATTCTTATTTTTATAGAACTCATTCTTCTCATGTCTAAACATGATAGAGTCACATACTATGAAGATGAAATATTTTTATTATCATCATGAATTTCACTTATTTTGTGTGTGGAGGTAGATTTTAAGTTAGATTAAAAGTTTAATCCCTGTAGCTGGGTGAGGTAGTGCAGACTTTTAATCCCAGCAGAGGCAGATGGAGCTCTTAGTTCAAAGCCAGCCTGGTCTACATAATGAGACAATGCCTCAAAGATGATTTTGTTGCCAAACATTGCTAAAAGACATGCCAGTTGACCTTCTGAGACTCTTCTTTAGGGGGTGTCCATTATAAGACTGGCATCCAGTTTGTTATGTACAGAGGACGACTTTGTGACTATCTGGTTGTCCTGCCTTCACCTCTCAACTGCTGAGACTACGCACATACCTCCATACACAGTTTTATGTGGTGCTGGAGACTGGACCCAGTGGTTTGTTCATTCCAGGAAAACATTCTTCCAACTGAGCTGAATCCTCTGCCCTCAGCTCATCTCTAGGATTTTGGTGCTCCAAATGTGGAGTGAAATATGGTTTTGAATAGAAATAAGTACCTTCACTAGAAATGAACATGCTTGGGGAGATCATGTGGATACGGAGATGACCTTGGAGAGACTCAGGACATACTGTCACTGGAGCTGTGGCCCTGACACATCAGGAGAGGATTCAAGAGTCTTCACACAACGGCAATGACATGGGTTGAGCTTACTTGGATTTGGATGATGAGCAGGGCGGGGCAACGCTGGTGACTCTATTAGAAGTAAAGTCACACTTGCAGGAGAGGATGCGAAAGGGAAGAGGACAACGAGTGTACAAATAAACTACCAAAAATTTTAGCTTAGGCCAAGATACTGAGCTCTTTTTAACACTGGATATGCTCTTAAACTATGGTGACAGTTCCCTCTATAGAAAAGGGGCCCGATAAGGGTTCCTTGCAAATCTAGACATGGGCAGCTATTGAAATTTTCCTGATAAGTGAGATCTTCACTGCTGTGGTAAGCGTGTTACCTGGCCGAGCCCATATTCAAAGGCTGGGTGGATTGACCCCCTGCAAGACACTTGAAGGTTAAATAGCTGCAGATCTCGGCTAATCTGGCTAAGCTGCTGATGCTAAATGTCGGCTGGCATCCCGGCACACCAGCTTCCACATGCTCTTGACTTGCCTCTTACCTTCTGTTCTGAGGGCCACTTTGGAGCTATGTGGCTCCTTGCCTGTCTGTGCCTTGTGCTGTGTTTTCTGGGAGGCGTGAGCTGCACCTGTCCTGCGCAGTGCACCTGTGATCATCAAGGCAGGAACGACGGCTCGGGATCAAGGTATGCCCCTCTCTTTGCTGCTAAGTATTCTGACTGTCCTGGTGAAGAGGACACAAGCAAATCATCCTGATTTTATGAAAGCAAATTATTTATTAAAAATCAGGAGAAGTTTAAATTCCATGAGTCTTGGTTCAGTTTTTCTTAGCTGGTGGCCCACTGCCCTATAATTTTTATTGTGAGCAACAGTTCACCTCTCAGATTCCTCAAAAGATTCTCTGAAATTCCAAAAGAACTTTCTGTCTTGAAAAAATTTATTACACTCACATGCACAAAACACTCCTCTCTGGAGATGAACGTTCAGTATGGGGTGGGAGGGAGCGGGATTGTTACAGAAAGTACAAGAGAGTGAGGCTGGGTAGGAATTGCAAGCTTATCCATGTAATCTGCTTTCAGAGTTTCCCATTTCATCTGGAGACATTTTCCACTAATACCTTGGTAGTAGGAAGACCAAGAGTGAAGTCAGTAAGGTTAATAATTAGTTTTTTTTGACAGAATTTACAAAAGAAAATTATGTTTATAAAATAGCACTCACAGAAATTATTAAGCCTCACATTGCTTTAACCTAGTAAGAATTATAATTCCTTTAGGATGCACAGGAATCCCTTAACATGCAGGCAAAATGGACAAAATGGACTCTTGTTAGTCAGGCACAGTAGACTCTGGGTGGGTTTTTTTTTGTGGTTTTTTTTTTTTTTTTTAGAATATTTGCTAAAAAATAAATGAATTCTTGGGACTTTGACAATTGGGATAAACAATGAATTCTTGGGACTTTGACAATTGAAATAAATAATGAGTTCTTGAAACAAATTTTAACAGAAGAAAATCACAACTTTTACTGAATAATAATTAGAGCTGAGGTACAGCTCAGTGGTCCAGCACTTGCCTGGCATGTCATGCAGTATCTGCCTCTTTGGACAGGCAGGATGATTAATAAAGAGACGGGTGTGATCTGTATTTCAAAGTCCTAGCGTGAAAGGTCCTCCATAAATACCCATCGAACACCATGAAATTGCTCAGATTTGATCAACTTTACTGTGAGAATGGCCATTTTGTATGGTTCAATTTAATGGTTGCCATATTATGATAATGGTGAGGAAGGAGATGATGATGATGACAATGTGGCATTATTAATAAATAGATTTTCCAGACTAACCAAATGTTTTGTAAAACACTAGTAGGGAATTAAATATAGATACATGTTTCAAATAAGGCTTTGTTTCAAGATGAGTCTTGGAGAGGAGATCTTCTGACCTTGCTCTTGTGACTCCAGGTCAGTGTTGTGTAATGACCTGGACATGAATGAAGTCCCTACAAACTTCCCCGTGGACACCGTGAAGCTTCGAATAGAGAAGACTGTGGTCCAAAGGATCCCCACAGAGGCCTTCTACTACCTGGTGGAGCTGCAGTACCTCTGGCTTCCTTACAACTCAGTGGCCAGCATAGAACCTGGCAGCTTCTATAACCTAAAGCAACTGCATGAGCTGCGTTTGGATGGCAATTCTCTGATTGCTTTCCCTTGGGCGTCTCTGCTGGACACGCCCCACCTGAGGACACTGGACCTGCACAATAACAGAATAACCCGTGTGCCGAATGAGGTGGTCAGATATCTGAAGAACCTTACCTACTTGGATTTGTCAAGCAACCGAATAGCCACACTGCCACCAGATTTCCTGGAGAGCTGGTCCCATTTAGCTGTGACACCTTCTAGAAGCCTGGATCTTCCACCAAGAAGAATTATTCTTGGTGAGCTCACAAACTTCTGGGCATCTTCTGTGTAGATATCTTGATATGCATGGTTTTAGGGATGTGTGTGTGTGTGTGTGTGTTTGTGTGTGTGTCGTTTGACAAATCCAAGTAGGTGTCCACCCACCCCAAGATCGCGGAGGGACTCTGCTTTCTTTATAGGCAGAATCTTGCAATTTATTTTTCACATTATGTCTGTTATCTTATACGCTTATGACTACAATCCACCTCAAAACAGTCTCTGTATATGGCGCAAAGCAGGAGTTGTGGTTTGTTATTTTCTAGAGGTCTGGCTGTCCTAGCCACCATCATTTGTTGAAGACTCTCCTTTCCCATTGCATGGCTGCCCAGCAGTCTCCACAAGCTAAGCGAGGCCTCAGCTTGGCTGTGAAGGGCAGGGCTTGCAGAATAAGCTTTGTACAAGAATCTGTTTCTGTCTTTCCACACATTTGCATGCACACACCTACACACACACACACGCACGCACACACACACACACACACACACACACACACACACACACACACTCAAAGAGCCTATGTAACCCAGCTGTTCTGATGCATGAAACACATTGAATTTCTCTTTCAGAAGGCATGAAGTGGCCTCATCCAAGAATAGTCATGAAATAAATTAATTAATGCAAAGGCTGTGATTGTGGTTGGTGTAGTTCCTTCAAAGAATGTAAGTAATAGTTTAACTCTGGGACTTTTTGTACCTTTGTCCCCATGAAAAAAACACAAGGTGGATGTGTGACCGCAGTCAGTCCTTGTAAAACTGTTTCTATTCACATCTTAAAAACTGTACTTTGACCTTAGATGTTTCAAAACTGGAATGAACAGGCTTCATGTTTTTGATGGATTGAAAAATCTTTCCTCCTATTTAATTCTTTGAGTTCTGATGAATCCTTGTTACGGCTCCCATGCTGGATGAGTGGCTGGATAGAATTTTCTCCCATTCTGTCAGTTGGTTGTCTCTTTGCTGCTAATTGCTTCCTATGCTGTGCGGAACCTTTTTGTTTGACACAATGCCATCTGTTGGTTCTTGCTATTACTTCTTGAGGTATTGAAGTCTTATTCAGAAATTTATTGTTTATGCTTACATCTCGACATGTTTCCTCTGGTAGCTTCTTTTTTTTTTTTTTTTTTTTTTTTTTTTTTATTTTGGACAGGGTTTCTCTGTGGCTTTGGAGCCTGTCCTGGAACTAGCTCTTGTAGACCAGGCTGGTCTCGAACTCACAAAGATCCGCCTGCCTCTGCCTCCCGAGTGCTGGGATTAAAGGCGTGCGCCACCATCCTCTGGTAGCTTCTTAGTTTAAGGTCTTATATTAAAGGTTTTTGGTCTCTTTTGAATTTTTTTTTTGTACAGGCTGATTCAGAAAGATCATTTTAGAGGCTTTCTCTAAATAGAAATAAATTTCTAAAATATTACCAGATTGTAATATTTCATTTTTCCGACATCTCCTTTCTTCTAATTAAGTGTATTTTTTTCCTAAGTAAATCTGCGGCTGAAGAGCTACATTATATATACATTCTGGGAGAGATTATCGCACATTGCATAATGTTGTGGAGCTTTCTAGAATTAGGATTTCAGCCTAGGTTTCCTAGACATACTCAGTTATTAATATAAGAAAGAAACCAAGAAGTCTGCTTACAACACAACTGGGTGATCCTTCAGTACTAAAATATTAAAAGAAAATTAAAATATTAAAAGAAAAGAGTTCAAATTGGCATTAATTATCAGAGTAGTCACAGAGTCACAGGATTTAATGTAAGAGGGAAGAACTCAAGGTTATGCACCCTCAGGAGAAGAACAAACTTCTCCAGTAGGAGATTAAAAAGTAACCAGTCCTGGCCGAAGAATGAGCCCTCATGGCCTGCTGTTACAGGACCCATAAGTCACAGTGGAAACATCGCCCTGCAAACAGTCAACTCAGTGTCCAGCACTGCTAGGCCTCCTGAAATCACAGTTCTCTGTTCCCTTCTCAGCTCGGGTCCCATGTTATCGCAAAAGCTGTAACTACAGGTCCCTAAGACCAACCTTCTCAAGTTTGTGACAAGGCCACCGCTTGCAGGGAAGCATCTTTAGAGACATGTTCTACCCTGGGTCTCTCCGAGAAACTTTCCAAGTCTCATTGCAGGTTGTTCTGAAAGTCTTTCTTGTTTTTGGTAATTTTGGAAAGGCTGAGAATGGGCCCAGTGACTTTGGGTCTTTTATACTGAATGGTTCTTTGGCTGTGACCACCCTTACTAACAAGAAGCTCCTCTGTTCCGACAACAACAGCTTCAATTTTCTTCCCGGGCATTCCCTTAAGTAGAGAACAGAACACTAGAAGTTGTTAATACTCGTAGCTACTATTTCCCAACATTTACTCCAAATACTAACCTTTACCCTCTCATTTAATCCCAATGATCCTATGAGGAAGTTGGTATTATTATTATTATGATGATGATTATTATTTTCATTTTAGAGGTGAAGAAGCTGGGGCACAGAGGGACTAGAAGCCAGTAACCTCAGCTGACCTGCAGGTGACTGTACTTTGTCCTTCCCAGAACTTCATCTGTTAGGGAGATAGTGTGCCAACCTTCTGCCACAAGACAAGGTGCACTGCCAATTTAATTCATCAGGGCGACCTTTACTGTTCCTTTCCACTCTGCGCTTGTGTTTTAGGTTTACAGGACAACCCCTGGTTCTGCGACTGTCACATTTCCAAAGTGATTGAGTTGTCGAAAGTTGCTGACCACACCGTTGTACTTCTTGACCCTCTGATGGTCTGCAGTGAACCTGAGCGCCTCGAAGGAATCTTGTTTCAGAGGGCAGAGCTGGAACAGTGTCTGAAGCCGTCAGTGATGACCTCAGCTACCAAGATCACATCAGCTGTGGGTAGTAATGTCCTGCTGAGGTGTGATGCCACTGGCTACCCCACCCCACAGCTGATGTGGACCAGATCCAACGGCTCACCAATTAATTATACAGGTACGATTAGTATTCCGGCGTGAACAAGTTTACAAAACTGTGGATTTCATTTCATGGGTTTTTTTTGTGTGTGTGTGTGAAAATTTTATTTTATTATTATTTTTCTTTTTTACATCTTTTTAAAAAATTATTTATTTTATTTGCATTAGTGTTTTGCCTGCATATATGTCTATGTGAAGGTGTCATAACTTGGAGTTACAGACAGTTGGGAGCTGCCATGTGGGTGCCTGGAATTGAACCCAGATCTTCTGGAAGAGCAGTCAGTGCTCTTTACTGCTGAGCCATCTCTGTTTTTTTTTTTTTTTTTTTTTTTTTTCAAGACAGGGTTTCTTCTTCGTGTGACTCTGGCTACTAGTCCTGTAGATCAGGCTGGCCTCAAATTCAGAGATCTGCTTGCCTCTACCTTGGAGTGCTGGGATTTAAGGCACATACCTCCACATCTGGTTATTTGTACAAATTTTAAGTGGCTGGTTAATTTTTACAATGCCAGTGTTGGTTTTGTTTTCAGTGATGGGAACCGACTCCAGGGCCAGACAAGTGCTCTACCAGCAAATTATACCTTTAGCCTACAAATTCAAATGAAATTTTGTTTCGGTACTTGGAATCAAATCTAGGACTTTCTGTGCTATAGTCCTAGCTCCCTGGACGCAGGGGATTTCAGGAGTACATTTTATCGATCAATATTTTCTCACTTTATATAACTACTTAGAAAAGAATTAGACCATAGAGCTCTTTTCTTTCCTTATGTAGAAAATGCACGTTCGGGTAAATAAACGAGGGCCACTAAGGCTTTTGTCCTGTTCAGTTACCTTGGATACACTCACTTTAAAGTGAAAAACCTTGGAAACATTTTCAAAATGACTTTTATACAAATTTTGAACAACTCTATTTAAACACTCAATTACACAGAGTGCTTACTGTGGGGCAGAAATATAATTTTTTGAAATATTAATTATATAGGCTTTTTAAACCCTGTGGTAATCAACCCAGGGTTCGACTCACTTAAGCAAAGATAAGATTAGTCTTGGGACTCTTCAAAATAAAATGACAATTGAGATTGAAAAACATAAAGCTTGATGGAATAAAAAGCTATGGTCCAATAGTCCTGTAGAATGCTGTCAGATGGCCTACAATAGAAGCTACTGAGTTCACATCTGGGCTATTGGTACCCTGCTTTATGTAATACTGTCCTCCAGGAAGCTTCTGTCTTCATTTCAGATAACATTCTAGTGTTTAACTAAAAAATATTGCAATTTTCTGCATATTTCTATATTACTCTGCAAATAAGTGAGCTTATAATTCTCTAGTTTATCTGAGTTTAATATGGAGTGGATGACATCCGGGCAGTGGTGGCCCACGCCTTTCATCCCAGCCCTCAGCAGGCAAGGGCAGGCAGATCTCAGAGTGCGAGGCCAGCCTCGTCTACAGAGCGAGTTCCAGGACAGCCAGGGCTACACAGAGAAACCCTGTCTCAAGCAAGCAAGTAAACAAACAAACAAACAAAAAAGGGGACAGATAGTTTAGAATAAAAGTCATATCTCCCTTATGCCAAAACATGACTATTGGTGCCTACTGGATATCTGCATAGATGCATTAAATTCCAATGAGAAAAAAATCTTGAGAAACCGTTAAGTAAAGCCTTTTCGTTGTTGTTGTCTTCCTGCGTAACCCTAAGTCTTATGATAAACATTTTATAGATTCACAATCAGAATTGGAAGGAGCTTTTGAGATTAGTTTTTCTAATCCGATTTTTTTCCCCAAACACAGAGACTTGAGTATGTACCTACCAGTTTACTTGTGTACAACTGCGTGCTGCTGGGGAGACCTGAATCTTCTAATTTCCATCCCCAAACACTTTTAGGGAGTCATTTCCCAAACAGACAGACCGGCAGCTCTTGGCAGGTCCCAGACTTCATGTAAACCATTTTCCTCATCCTCACCCGCTGTACAAAGTGCCCTTTCCCCCGGCTGTGTGAGAGGGACGCACACAGAATCTCTGTCAATCCTAGTTGGTATGAGTGCTCCTACCTGTCACAGAGCTCTTGTGTGTTCTCTCCTAGTAATCCAGGAGTCTCCAGGAGAAGGAGCCAGATGGTCCATCATGAGCCTGACGGGCATCTCCTACAGGGATGCTGGGGATTACAGATGTAAAGCCAAGAACCTAGCTGGGACGTCGGAAGCTGTGGTGTCTGTGACCGTTGTTGGCACCGTTACTACCACCCTATTACCAGACACTTCAGAAAGAAACCCCGGAGAGCACCCCGATGAGGATCCTCAGCAGGGAGCAGGAAGTGCGCCACCTCTACCTAAGTCACAGTTGCCACCCGGCCTCTCTTCCACTTCTTCCTATTTCACTCCCTCAACTGCTCTGTCTACATCTCCACCACCTCCTTCTTCCTTCTCTTTGCCTTCTGTCTTCTCTGTTGCTTCTGCACCCACGAGTGTAAAAACCAGCAGCTCGGAAAGCACCGTCAGGACGAGCCACCAGCCACTCCCGCTCCACCCCGGCGAGAAAAGCGAGGCAAAGCTAGAAAAGAACGGAAGTAAGTTTCCGCCGGTCAGCGCGAGTAAGAAAGAGGAGTTGGCACTCTTGGATCAGGCGATGCCCACGGAAACAAATGTCTCTATAGCCGATCTCAGGGTGGCCAGCGAGACTGGAGTGAGCGCGACTTTGACGTGGAACGTCACCACACGGGGGGCTGCTGTGACTGTGCTGTATTCTAAGTACGGAGAGAAGGACCTGCTGCTAGCGGATGCAGACTATGGCGAGAACCAGGCAACCATAGATGGCCTAGAACCCGGCAGTCAGTATGTGGCATGTGTCTGTCCCAAAGGAGTGGCTCCTCGGAAGGACCAGTGTATCATGTTTTCTACCAACGGAGTGGAAGACCGTGACTCCCAGTGGTCATTCCTCATCGTGGTGACCAGCACTGCCTGTGTTATAGTCGTGCCCCTAATTTGTTTTTTATTATATAAAGTGTGTAAACTACAATGTACATCAGACCCTTTCTGGGAAGATGATTTGGCGAAAGAGACATATATCCAGTTTGAGACTCTGTCGCCCAGGTCACAAAGTATAGGAGAGCTGTGGACACGGAGGCACAGAGATGACACAGAGAAGCTGCTACTGTGCTCTCGGGCAAGTGCGGACTCTCAGCTGAACTCTAAGTGTGACGATTATAGACCAGAATACTACTGCTGAGGTTGTGCAGGTGCAATGAATGTGAGCCAAGAACTGAGGGATCTAATGCTGTCACAGACCCTCTGTTGGATGACTTTTGGACAGACTTTCCTATCGTCTGTGAGAATCACAAACGCCATTTTTTTGATGCATTTTTTTTAATTTAGTTGAGAAACATCTCAGCTATAACAACAAATGACCTTTATTTTTTATTACACGAATGATGTCCAAGTAAATAATTTCTTAGTAGTATTTAATAAGCTTATAGTAATTTTAGGGCAATTTAGTTCCTAAAATAAGTTTATAAAAAATACAATAGCTAACCTCTTCATTTGAAAGAACACGTGTTAGCAGTCAAGAGATGTTAGCATTGCCAGGGAAGGCTGGCAACCCTGAATGTTCAAAGTGCTCTGAAGAGTTTGCAGCTGCTGCCTGGCGTGTGAGCGTGAAACCCTAATGAATCTTGTGTCCACATATAGTTTTTTCCCTAATCCTTTAAAGTCAGGTATCAGTTAAATTAAGTACATGAGGACAATAACAAACACAGCATTTCTATAGAACTGGTGGCTGTATTTTAACACAGTACCTAGCGGTTGTATTTTTAACACAGTTGATAGACTGTCTGTTTGGGCCTCATGATGTGTTAATTTAAGAATGATCTTCTTAATTTCTTTCCACCCCTCCCATCTCATTGTCTTCCTTCACTTTCCTTTCTTCATCCTTTAAAACTTCCCTTTTAAGAGACAGAAGATGCCCAGCCACCAACGAACTGCAAACTCAGCTGTCTTCTGCCTCCCTGTATTTTTATTCTCTGGGTAGAAGGAAGGCCTCTGAGATTTCTTTGCTGTTGTTGTTTTTGTTGTTCAGGTATAGTGGTTTGCTCCTTTATTTATTTTTTTCTTTTTCATGGGGTTGGTGTTTTCCGTGAATACACATCTGGGGACCTCATGTGTGCCCAGTGCCCTCAGAAGACAGAAGTGGGCATCAAGTTCACTGGGACCAGAGATTAAACATTACTGCATGATGAATGGGTCAAAAAGAAATCAAGAAACAAACACAAAATACACAAACAGGAGGAGCCCTCTCAAACTCTTCCTATACAGCCAGTTCCATGCTCATACCTAACCAGAGAAAGACATGGCAACCAAAGAAAGAATGCAGGGGAGCAAGAAAGCTAGCAAATAATCAGGCGAGGTAGAAAGAAAGAGAAGAGGCCAATAGCCCTTGTGAACATGGATCAAAACATACTCAGTAAAATACTTGCAATCCTAGCACAGGCATACATCAAAAAGACTACCTGCCGCAACTGAGTTGGCTTTTTTCCCGGACATGCAGGGTTGGTTCAACAATGCAAGTAATAATAAATGTAATTCCCTTAGTCAGGGTTTCCATTGCTATAATAGAACACCACTAGCAAAGCAACTTGGGGAGAAAAGGATTTATTTGGCTTAGGCTTCCACATCACAGTTCACCATCAAAGGAAGCCAGGACAGGAACTCAAACAGGGCAGGAACCTGGAGGCAGGATCAGATGCAGAGGCCATGGAGGAGTGCTGTGTACTGGCTTACTTCCCATGGCTTGCTCAGTCTGCATTCCTAGAGAACCTAGGACCACCAGCCCAGGAATGGTAGATAGGCCCGCCCACAACAATCACTAATTAGTAAAATGCCCTACAGGTTTGTCTACAGCTCAACCTTACAGGAACGTTTTTTGAATTGAGTCTCCTTCCTCTCTGATGACTCTAGCTTGTGTCAAGTTGACATAAAACTAGCCAGCGCCAGTAATGACCACATAAACGGGCTGAAAGGCATTGTCCTAGAAGGGTGTTTTGACATTTGGAAAGAGAAGTGTCATTGAATTCATTGGAGTAGGTCCAATGAACACATGGGATAAAGACTTCATAAATACTATTTGGTTTTTAAAAATAACCTTTCACAAGTAATATACATTATAGGAGTGGCTGTAGTGTGGCTGTGGGGATTAATGAAGGCACAGTGAGCAGCCAAGCATTCTGGAGGACAGACACCGCAACTCAGCAGTGTGTTGCCACCCGGCCTGGGGATATCTAGGAGATAGGACTGCCACAGCACAGCCATAGCCATGACCCGTGGGAAAGAGCTAGCCTTTACAAGAAATTTTATTCTGTTTACGAAAGAAACACCTGGTAAGAGGTATGGCTGAACATAGACGTGAGGAAGGGAAGCATCCATCAAACTCCGGGAACATTCTCTGGGCTGGGATTTCCTAGTCTGTGTCATCTCCTCTTTGAAGGAGTGTGGCCATGCCCCCAGCATGTGGTCCCTATCCATCTGATACAGCACTTCCATAATGAAATGTTTACCAAACTGACTGATCTTTGATGTTTGGTCCAAAGGAGAGAAGCTGGCGCTGGGCAAGCAGCCAATGCTGATACTTGAAGACTGGTGAGAAGATGGGATTTGGGACGTCAGTGAATGATGGCCTCCATTCCCAAGGGAGGACTGAGAGAGTGACTTGTGCTTAGCTGTGGTCAAGAACCTTAGTGCCGCCCCGTGGACTGCTCCCCAGTGGGCCTGGAGGTGTTCTTCATTCTGTCCTTTGCTTTTGTGTGCCTCTGCTGTGGAGGCTGCCACCGAGCAAAATCTGCCAAAATTATTCTTGAGTTTGTCCAGCCTCTCTGGGGACGACGGACAGGCTCTGGTGAGGAGGAAAGGTCTGGAAGCTCTGAGTGCTACATGATAAATCTTCAGTTCCAGACGTGGAGAGGAGCAGCTCACGTAGAAGTTCCTTGGCACCACGATGCCAGGTAGGGAAGACGGCTAAGGTGCAGCTTCTCTTTGGGGAGCTTGACGGCTGTCCACCATTGGAGAACCCTTCACAGACTCCTAGATTCAACGCTGATATTATCAGCGTCACAATATCATGAACTAAAAGATGTGACTGGAGTCCTCTGCTCTTCCGGGTACCATTTCAGTGAGGCGGCATGACCTGTGACCTCTGCTGGGGTTAGATGGCAGCAGTCCCTGGGCAGCATGCTCAAGTCCTTCTGCCAAGATGGAGGGCTTTGAACTAATAATCTCAAGTTTACTCAAGTCACCACGCCACAGGCAGGACACAGGCATTGACCATCACAGTCCAGCCCACAGGAAGCGACCGTTGCTACCACATTGTCCTACACAGCACCTGGCTTGGCTGGTTCCCTTGGAGATGCAAGGCTCTTCGGTCTTGTTTGCTGTTTTCCTTTTCTCTCTACAATCTCATCCGTCCTTCGGGTTCCCTTGACATCTGTGGATGGGACTAGAAACCCTGCCCGTGTTCTGAATCACAGGGGCACAGTGAGGACGTCACTGAAGAAACCATTACAACAAACTCTGTGTTCCCTGGATGGTGAAGATGTTGAGACATAGGATAGATTTCTAACGTTGTGTCAGGGATCCGAGAAGCAAGTTCTGATAACTCTGTCTAAGTCACATGCTGGCTTTTAATGCACTATATCCAAGGAATTATAAGTAACTGGAGACTTAAGTTATTAATTCTAAACATCTCTTTGTTAAAAAATTTTGTTCAGACTCCAAAACCTCCCTGTTTATAATTTCCTCATTTTCTTTCCATCCTCTTTGCCTTTATCTTCCTCTTTGCCTTTCCCCCTCCCTTCCTGTTTTCCCTCCTCTTCCCCCTCCCCTCCCCTCCCCTCCCCTCCCCTTCCCTTCCCTTCCCTTCCCTTTCCTTTCTTTCCCCTCCCTCCCCCTCCTGTGTATCCTCGGTGCTCTCACCACTGAGTGCATTCATTGTCTAATGATCTAAAGCTTTTAGTTTTGTAGTCAGTTAGGATTTTAAAAAGATTTTTTCTAAATAATTTTGTCTAACTTCACTTTATGTTAGATGAATTTTAAATAAAAAAGTCAATAAAGTTTTATTTATTTACTATGATATAGGTGTCATTCAATTTTGTCATCATGATTTTTAAAGATTCAGATAAATACTGAATTATTCATACATTATTAGGAATTCTATTACTGTGGGAGACCGTTTCAGATTTCCGAGCCCGCCAGTGGCTATGGAGAGGTGCCCATATTTTACAAAGGCAATTTGTCAAGACAGGAGGCCTGGAACCTCAGACATAATAAGTTACTGATTTCCTTGAAAATCAACTCCAGAAAAAGGCTGGCAGGAGAAAACCCTGTGTTATCCTGAGCTGAGTAGTGGCATGTGAGGTATGTTGCAATTCATGACGAAGAGTTAAAGCTCTAGCCCTGTAGCCATCTTCTTTAAAAGCAAGCACATAGGAGGTTTAGTCAAAATATCCTGGTGATGTAATTGCTATCCTGTTCTTTCAAGGATGCTCTCTCAGGTAGGGAAGACTGAAGCCCCATTGGGCAGCAGGAAATGCGTACAGCGAATAGCTTGAGAATGTTCATGGGGACACTGTGGCGAGCTAACCTAAGTGACACACAGCCAGCGGGTCTGCCGATTAAAAATGGTTGTGAGGTTTGGCAAGATGGCTCAGAAGCAAAGGCACTGGCTGCCTGACAGTGGCATTCTGATGACATGAATTTGTAAAGAAGGAAGGAGGGGCCTGACTCAGTAGTTGCCCTCTGGTCCCCAGAGATGCCCTATTGACACACGTGCCACACACACTCTGAAACGATGCTTCCCTTAGTGATTACAGTATTTTACACTTAGGAAAAACATTCTACTTTGTTATCATGGGCCATACCATGGGACATATTGAAATATCTAGATTCTTTTTTAAAAATATTTATTTAGTTCCATTTTATGTGTATGAGTCTTTTGCCTGAACTTGTCTGTATCTAATAAGTGTGCAGTGCCTATGGAGACCTTCAGAGGACGGCATCAGGTCCCCCGGGACTGAGTTACGGACAATAGTGACCCACCATGTCGATAATGGGAATCGAGCCCTGGTTCTCTGGAAGAGCAGTCAGTGCTCTTGACTTCTAAGCCATCTCTCCAGCTTTAAATATCCAGATTTTTAAAATGTTGGGGAAAAAAGTAGCACTGAACAGAGTCAAGAAAATATGTCCTGGAATTTGGAAAACATTTGCAAAAGTTCAAAAAAATAATAATAATTTTGGCCCCTGGACATGGGTCTCCAAAAGAGTACATAAGATAAGAAGACAGCTCTGTAGATAAGATTATCATACAAGCATGAGTTCCTACATTCAGATCCCCAGCATGTTGAAAGCTAGGCATGACCGTGTGTATGCCTGGAACTGACCAATAACTCCAGCAGAGGCAGGTAGGTCCTGGGAGCTTGCTGGCCCGACAGGCTAGTCAAAATGGTGGACTTTCATTTCAGTGAGAACCCTATCTTAAAGGAGGAAGGCCGAAATATGACCTGCACATGTACCCTCAGGATCGTGTACATCTGTGTACTTGTGTTCATGCACCACTCATGTTCATGTGCTACACATGCGTGTGCACACAGTATATACATGTATGAATGCACATCTGCACAGACGCATGCCTGCACAGACACACTCAAGCACATATATGCACACACATGCACATACCACAGAAATTAAGAGAATAGATAATACAAAGAAAAAAATTAAAGACAGAAAGCTGATCAGTTTTACTGATGTGTTTACTTTTAATAGACTGTAAAACAGATTTAGATAAAAAACTAGTAATAGCTAATTTCTTACGGGTAAAGGTTATACTATGAATTATGGAATAGACTCACAATTCCAATAACAGGTGTATCATCAGGTTCTGAATACATAACTGAATAAATAAATAAAATATTTCATGATTGCTTATTTTTCTTTTGATACAAATTCTCCTTTTATATACCAGGATGATTTTGAACTCACAATCCTCCTGCATCGGCATCAGCCTTCTGAGTACCAGGATTACAGAAAATACTACATTACAGCCAATGAAAAAAATTTTTTTAAACTCCAAAACTTCTCGGTGAATAATTGTGAAGTAAAGAAGACTCCAGGTGATAGCTTGGGAGCAGTTAGTGCCTGTTTTGTCCTCTCTGCTGTTAAATGACCTGTGCACAGGACAGAAAGGGGGTACAGAGATTAGTGTAGGAACGTAGCAGAGCTGCGGTCAAAATGTCAGAAAAGCCATAGGTGAACTGAGAAGGGAGAAAGAAAGGGAAAAGGTGTAACTACGGGCCTTTTCAGAAGGAAGAATAAGGAAGACTAGGGTAAGGAAGATGAGGAAGAGACCTGGTCATTCGTCTTCATCATCTCAGACCATGAAGCCCAATATGGACAAGTTCAAGAGAACCGCCACATAGGCTGCCCACGCAAGCCTCAGCATTGCCAGAGCATAAATCTCATTCAGAATCTCAGTGTAAGGAAGATGCTGGACCAATAGCCCCTGGTCCATTCCCCTCCAGTGGAAGGCTTGGCTAGCAGCTTCTCACATATGAGAACTGACATGCGCCACCATAGAGTTCGTGAGCCGGGCAAGGGGCTGGAGATTGAAACACACAAAAACACACAGAGACACAGATCATACTTGATGCCAGAATGTCCCAAGAATGCCGCCTTTATTGTGTTCAGGGGCAGAGTATATAGAGATAGCCACGCCCCAGCCAAACGCACCAGAAACCATTCCCCTGCCATCAGGAACGCCTGAGGGTCTCGTGCTCAGAGCAGCTGTAGGCACTCAGATCAGGGGAAAACAAGTTGTTTACAAGAAATTCAGGATCTGGGGGTTCACAGCTCCCAACGGAGAACTATAAAACCCCCAAAGCTGGCCTACGAGCCTGAGATACCAGATTGAACCTCACAATAAATACAAAGTTCATTGAAGGTGAAGGGGCAGTCAGGCTTAGACTGCTTCAGCCCTCCTTAGCGCCCAAGCTGGACAGCATGCCACAGATGGGCTGTGCCCGGGTCTGTGATTGGGGCAGCGGGTAAAGACCACCAGAGCCATGGTCTACATCTAGTTCCTCTAGGTCCTGAGGTGCCGTTCAGAAAACTCCTTGTTTAACCTCAGGAAAACACTGGGGAGTGGTCAAATAAAAAAGAGCAAACAAACAAACAAAACCAGAAAAGGGGAACACTCATTGCCGTATTCGCTGCCTTCGGCATCGGGTACAACACTCATGACTTTGCTCAGGAGAAAACCTGTCGTGTTCCCGCACTGACTTAGTGTATGTAATACACTAGCTCAGTTAAGTCTTCGCAGAAAAGCAATGTTCCTATTGTCATTATTTTAACACTCTCTTTATTAAGTGTTACTTCTTCTGTTTTACCCAATTTCCCAAAAATTTAACATGGCAGTAGTAAAGAGTTATATTCCTAAAATAATTTTATGGATGACGCTGAGCTGTTTATATTTTCTGGGGTGAGAAATGGCCTAAAAAAGCAAGAGAACAAGTCTGTGTGATAACACACTTTGTATATTGTGGTATCTTTAGAGATCCTTCCCAAACAACAGCAACAAACCCTGTAAAATGCAAATATCACATATGGCCTGTGTTTTGTGGGATTACTAGCAGAGAGAACACACCTGGACTTTAAATTGCTTTTAAAAGAAAGAAATACCGAGTTTGACCTGAGTCCCGCTGCAGCGTGGAGCTTGTGGTGAGAAAGAGAAAGAGGTTCGGGGACTGCAAGGTGGAGTGGAGAGGAGCCAGCAGCAAAGGCCCAGCACAGATGAAATCACACCCAGGAACTGCAATCAAACAGGAGCCAATATACCGGATGAGGATCTGAAACTCAGGGATTCATAGCGGGTCCTCGAGGAAGGGCTTGAAGCTAGAGAGGCCAGAGTTGACGAGAGAGAGAGAGAGAGAGAGAGAGAGAGAGAGAGAGAGAGAGAGAGAGAGAGAGAGAGATATTGACATGGCATGGTGCCCTTTAAAAGTGTGACAGTAAGAGAAAGAACATAGAAAGGGGAGAATTCAAGTTAAATACTGACATGGGACACTCAAGAAATCTAGCCATGAGTCCAGACTAAAAGAAGGGCATGAAAAGGTTATAAATACTGGCGGGCATGAAAAGTAAATATTGGCGAAGGGGAGTAGAAAGATAACTGCTATCCAAGAAACTGTGAGAGTCAAAGGATATTATTCACAATTTACGGTCCAGAGGGAAAAATAGAATATTGGGGAAAAGCTAAGTCACTTAAAAACAAGACCAAAATAGATACCTTTCTAATACCCAGATGAAAACAAAAATCAAAATAAGAAAGCAAGGAAAACAGCAAATATAAAAATTGAAAACTGTTCATCTTTGAGGACAAAGTATTTTCAGGGCCACTAGACATAAATATTAAATTAGTTATAAAGTTAAAAGTTTTAGGCTTCTATTGGAAGCCTTTAAAATGACAAACAAGGGAATGGAGCTTCATTTGCAAGGGAATTGAGGGAAGGAAAAGCAAGACAAGATTCTCTTTATTAAGTTAGCAGGCAGAGGCTGGAGGCTCAGCAGGTAAGAATGCTCACTTCTTTTGCAGAGAACTGGATTCCGTTCCCAGCACCCACATCTGGCAGCTCAAAGCCATTTGAAATTCCAGTACCAGGCAACCCAATACCCTCTTTTGACCCTTGTGGGTACCTGCACATGAACTCATGCAGGCAAACATATGTACACATTAAAAAAAACACCTTAAAGATAAATAAAATTGATGTATTAATTTGACAGAATGAGCTATTTTCATATACACACATGGCCTACTATACTCAAGTCTGTGAGATTTCACACAAGCTATTTTGCTCACACCCGTCTCTACTGTTCTTCCCTTTTTAGC